CATCAACCCAAAGCAAAGGGGAAAAGCGGCCCCTCCACACAACCAACGCCAACTAAATGAACCCAGCGGCCCCAAACATCAACCCAAAGCAAAGGGGAAAAGCGGCCCCTCCACACCACCAACGCCAACTAAATGAACCCCGCGGCCCCAAGCATCAACCCAAAGCAAAGGGGAAAAGCGGCCCCCCTCCAAACTACCAACCCGCACGAAATGCATCCCACCCGCGCAGCCCACCCGACGTCGCAGGTGAAGGACTCCCTGGGCGCCGCATCACCGCCCTGGGCGGCGGAGCAGTGGATCGCAGGCGCGGCTCGCCGGCTCGCGGGGGAGTCTCGCGGACGCGGCTCGCGGGGATTCAACGTGGCTTCATGCCAAGAATGACTCTACCTGGAGTCTCCCTCTGACCCGAATCAAAAATGGGTCAGTGTTTAACCATGATTTTGGGGAATGAGCCCTTTTTCTAGGGGTCATGGAGACTCCAGGTGTAGCTTGAGAATGACATTACGATGCATGAAGCTGATTTATAAATGACCGCATGGTAATGACTCTAAATAGTTTTTTTTTCACTGGCACACCGCTTGCGGGGATTTGTCCGGGCCCGCTGGCTAGGTGATTATAAGGTTATAACCAAGGGGTACTGGGGTTGACCCGAAGACTGAAGGCAGTTTCTAGGTCCTTTCTCTAGGTGCCCTTCTCTTACCGATTCTTTTTTGGGTTGGGAGGGTTCCCTTAAAATAAACGAGAGAAACAGATTGGTACCCGTATTCTATCCTCGCTACTAGAGGACCTAGCAGAGAGGTCATACTTGGATGTTGCTTGCCTAGCCTGGGGTTTGGTGGCTAATTTCCAATGGTCACAACTCACCTACGGTTTCAAGGGTATAACTGGTATTGCTGACTTACATGACGTAGGTTGAACATCCAAGTAAGACGGCCAAGAAATGCCCCAAAGCCTAAAAAAAAAGGGGCCAACATATGCCCGGGTTGTCACGTTTTTCTGGAACCGGCACCTAAAGCGGTGGATTCCCTGTGACTACCCTTTAAACCAAATTACACCAGCCTCGACCCCAAACAGCAAAAAGGCATGACAAGTCTGTATAAGTGTATAACCCAAAAAAAGGCTTGTCTCCTTCATGTAAGGTGCGAACTTGAGTAGCTTATGTTACAATCAGTCCATGTATGTCCCTGCAGGAAGTCCCCTTTTTTGGGAAGAGGACACATCGGGTCCATCCATCTCCTTGACGCCGGGTAAAAGCATCGATATTGTTCATCGACTTCGGGGAGAAAAATCCATGTCAATGCCATGTTCGAGAGTGAAGGCCCCGGGGATTCGGGGTGAATCAAGCTAACAGCTGCATTAATCAAAGGAAGTTTCGACCTTTCGTAGTACGGACGCTCAATTATGCGCTTTTCCATCACCAGCATTTGGTGGCCGTCTCGCTACTCTGCTGAAACTTGCGCATCAGTCTCAGCAGCTTGCGGCCGAGACTGGACACATGCCGCTTCTGGTTGCTATCTTCTTCTCGAGCTCGGCTAAAGGTCTTGCCACAAGCAAAGCAAGCGAGCACTTGCATAAACTTGCAGACTGCGCCTTGTAGCGTTACGGCCGGGACATCCTCGCCTAGGAACGCAGACACACGCGCCAAATTGGCAAGCGTCAGCAAAGGTGCCCGCGTGGCAACGCACCTCTGCACCTCCAGAAAATCCCCAGTGTTTGAGCCGGCAGTAGCTTGGTCATCCAGGGCCTTCATCTCTTTCGTGTCCAGCGCGCCGCGTGCTCCCAAGATGGCCAACGCATGGCTTTGCTCCATGCGCCCAACACCGCTCCGTTCTGGAACAAGCTTGGCTTTGAACGTCAGCTCCAGCCCTGCTCCATCTCGGAAACGTGTGAGAACTTTGCCCCAACTTACCAATGCTGGCTGCACAGTGGACACCACCAGCTTGGCCGGGTTCATCTTGGAGTTGGTGCTTACGGTTCGCAGATTGGTGTTCACATGTGTGGTGAACGACCGGCGGCCGTCATTCCAACGCACGCCGCTGGCAACAACTTCTGGGCCTTGCGTTCACTCAGCTCCAGCAGCACTGTAATCAACTGGCCGGGTTTGTGAACTCTTTCCAAGTTGTCAGGAGCTCCTATGCATCAACCAAGTTTTTCGAGGAGAACTCGACAAGTGCAGGGACGATGCAAACAACTTTTACGGTTAGGGACCCGACTCACCCAGGCCATACCTCCAGGACAATTCTTTCTGGAAACCGGTCAGAAAAAACCTTGGAGCGGACCCCCTTACGATGCAACAAGATGATAAGCACGCCTGCTTGACTGTGTGTTCGCTCGTCGTTTTCTGCGATAGCAGCAGATCTCCAAGAGCAAGTAATCAGGAAACCACCAAGCCACTCTGCGATTGGCGAAACGGCTCTTGTTGATGGGACCCCAAAAAAAAGCATCAAACACGGCGGCGTTAGAAGCTCTTATTAGATTATAGAGCCACCGAACATGTGTCGAAACATGGCCATGACCGTGTCTCCTTGTTGCAATCACCACATTGAGCACCAGAGCCGCCAGTCCGTAATGTTGCTGGGGAGTTCGCCCACGCTCGGAACCGATGTTCAAGGCGTAGTGGAGGCGAAGCTGTGTCGTCAAAGAAGAAATGGATGGGCCATGTCTGTAGCACGTGTTGGTCTTGATGCTATCAGCACATCCCTCCAGCTTGGTTTCCCGACAAGCCACGTATGCTGCGAGCAAGTAAATCAGAATCTCGCCCGGAGCTGCCAAACTCAAGCCGAGGTCTCGGAAAAGAACGTTGATTGTGAGAATGAAATGGAATTGCTCGGATTTCCAAAATACTCACTGCGGGAGGCTAGCACAAGCGCCATGCAATACGGCTCACGTTGACCGCTTTGGTGTTCTATGGGTCCAGAGACTGTAGGGAAGCTAGCGCCTCAGAGGATGGCACCTTACGACGTCCCGCCATGAAAATCCTTGAGCCCTCGCACTTGCAAGCCCTGGCACTTTCAGACACGTGCAAAACAGCAGCGTCCATGTTGCGGAATATGTGGAAACAAGGCTGAGCAATCTGTCTTCAACCCTTCTGTCAGGAGGCAACGAGATATGTCAAAGCTGCGACCTTGCCAGGTGTGAAATGCTTCAGCAAAATGCGTTTCGTTTGTCAGTGGGACTGGATTGCATAGGTGAGGAAAAAGCGTCGCAGTAAATATGTCCATTTCGTTCTCGAGAAACAAGCACTTTGCTCAGGATTCTGAGCTGCTTTTCGGAAGCGCCGCACTTGTTGGTCAGGTGCAGGTTTGCATTCTGGCGCATCAGCAGAGCCCTGCCGAGCCTTATATGTACTGTTGTTTTCGATAAGCAAATACCGAGACATCCGCCTGATTGCTTTGCTCAGGATTCAAGTTGCTGAGCTAGGAGTACTTGGCGCCGCGCGCTGCTCACAGGGAGACAAGCGGGAGACACGACATCTAGCATCTGACCGCAGAGGAGACTGGAGACACAGGGAGACAAGCGGGAGACACGACCCCGCAGCCAGCGTCACAGCATCTGGCATCTGACCGCAGAGACCTTGGGAGACACAGGGAGACAAGGGGGAGACACGACCCCGCAGCCAGCGTCACAGCATCTGGCCTTTGAATGGAGAAACTGGGAGACAGGGAGACAAGCGGGAGACACGAGCCGGCGTCACAGTATCTGGCATCTGCCCGCAGAGACGGAGACACCACCCCGGAGCCAGCGTCACAGCATGTGGCGTCTGACAGAGACTTTGGGAGACACAGGGAGACAAGCGGGAGACGCGCCACAGCATCTGGCATCTGACCGCAGACTGGGAGACAGGGAGACAAGCGCGGAGACACCACCCCGCAGCCGGCGTCACAGTATCTGGCATCTGACCGCAGAGACTGACAAACACAGGGAGACAAGCCGGCGTCACAGCATCTGGCATCTGACAGAGACTGGGAGACACAGGGACAAGCGGGAGACACAACCCTGGAGACGGCATCTGCTCGCAGAGACGGAGACACCCCGGAGCCAGCGCCACAGCAGGCATCTGACCGCAGAGACCTTGGGAGACACGGGGAGACAAGCGGGAGACACCACCCCGGAGCCATCTGACCGCAGAGACTGGCAGACACAGGGAGACAAGCCGGCGTCACAGCATCTGGCATCTGACAGAGACTGGGAGACACAGGGACAAGCGGGAGACACAACCCTGGAGCCGGCGTCACAGCATCTGGCATCTGACCGGAGAGACTGGGAGACAGGAAGACAAGCAGAAAACAGGACCCCGGAATCGGCGTCACACTTTCCCATTCTCTATACCTCAAGTTAGAACCCCAATGCTTCGCTGTTTGGGGAAAAAAGAGGGTACCAGCAAAAACAGACACAAGGGCCAAGGAAGGCCTAGCGATCGTTGGGCGCTGGCTCTCTGCGCTTGTGCGTTGTTTGCCCGGGCCAGCGCCCCTGCGGTCCGAAATCGGAAGTAGAGACGCGAACTGCTAGGGCCAAACACGAATCCTTGGGTGCGCGGGGGGTGGGGGGGCGGCGGAAGATGTATGATCCAAGGGCTCTTTTGTGTACACCTTAATGGCCCTCTTGGCTCTACCCCCATGAAGCCAAGCTCCTCAAACATACCACCCACCCCCCTTCAAAAGAAATGCAAGAAACAAATCGAGCACTCAACCCCACCCCCACCCCCCAACCCCCCACCAAACTAGAACCCTTTTACCACGTGATTGCACTATCCCCCTTCCCCAATCCCCAGCCTCACCCCCAGCTCCGCCCAGCTCCGCCCCTGAGACATCGAGAAGTTCTCGGAGCTGGCGCCGTGCATCCCCAGCGACCCCTCGCCCACCCGATCTCAGCTCAGCCTCAGCCTGGATCAGCTCGAGGCCCGAATCGCCGGCTTGCGCTGGCGGGTGAACAGCAAAAGCCAAGGAGATTGGCCGTATGCCCCCATTTTTTTCTGGGGCAACGCCTTTTTGAACCAAACAGAAGGAGTGTGTTGGCAGGTTGCGTTTGCCCCTTTATGTTCCAGGTGTTTGTGGTTTTCGAGGGGGTCATGGAACACCTCCAAAGTAGCTATTGTTTTCTATATTATTATATTTTTTGGGGGGGGTTAAACTCAACTAACAAAAGAAAGACAGAGTGCCACCTCCTTTTTCCCGGGGCCGTGGGACCCCGCTAGCTAGATTTTTCCATCAAGACCCTCATTCCCTTCATTTCCCAGCACGCTTCAAGCAGTGAAAGCACTCAAGAGGGAGGCCGCTCTGTCTCCATGAGGTGTGTGTCTTGTAGGGGAACTTTTTCCGCCAAATGGTGGCACTCGAAAGTTCCCGAAAAGGGTGACGGGACCCGGGACAGGCACACCCCATCAGGCCCTCCAATCCCTCAAGGGCCCTGGGGATTCTTGGGGCACACCGCATATACAGCCAAGTGCGTCCGGAGGAAACTTTGCAGCCAATGAAATCTCACCCCCAACCCCCGTTTCAATATTGGTTTACCCTTGCCATGGCAGCTGACAAGGGGGTGTCCGTAAGAAGAAACGTACCTTCCCCACATGGACCAGGATCTCCATCGGAATTTCTTGTTCCTGGGCTTCGTTCAGAGAGGCTTACCGGCTTATCAGGGTTCTACTGGATCAACTGGCCCCTTACAAAACCATTGTATTTAAAGGTACCTGGACCCTCAAACTACCCTTAAAAGTCTCAGTTGCCCAAAGCCGACCTTTTGACCTTTTGGTTTCCCTAATTTGATTCATGTTTAGCAAAGGGCCCAAAAGGAGATCACCATTTATTTCTAGGTCCTTTGGGCCAGCGAGAAAAGGGGAATTCACCGACGATAGTGTTAGGTTGCAATAATATCCCACAGTGACGGGAATCTTGAGGCTCGGTCCAGGGGTACATGCTCACTTTCCCAAACCGGGGTAGTGGTTGGGTAGTTGAAATCCGCTTGGTTCAAGGGATGCGATATCCCTAATTTTTACCGGAAATTGGATTTCCAAATGCCCACCAAAGCCGTGCCTTTTAGAAAGTACCAATTGCCCTAAACCTATGGGTGAATTCCCTTCTTTAAGGCTAGTTTGTGGGTGCAGGGTGAGTTGTTCGAAGTTGATGTCAGGTGGGAAGTAGGTCTGAATGGCAACCGCTAAGTCCCTTACAGTGGCTTCCCTGATGCTCAACCCCAAACAGAACGATCCACATTCCAATTATTTTTCTATGTTCCTTTTTTTTTCTTCTTTTCTTCTTGCGTCACTTGTAATGAACAGAGGAAAACCAAAATGGAGTTTGAGGGTCCAACAAAGACACAAATACCTGGACCACTTCAAAATGGGTTATTGTCCAAAAACTATGGGGTGAGATCCCATTTTTACGGGTAGTTTGAGGGTCCAGGTACACAGAAATCCCAACTTGAAGCTCGATGTCTTGGACGTCCAAAACTGGAGCTCCACATGGGAGTGGGTCAAAAAAAAGGGTAAGCTCAAAATGGCTTGAACCCGGGTAAATGGACGGACTAAAACCTGTCCGATTCCTGGTGCTTTAAGATCCGATTTCTGGAGGCCGGGAACGAGGTGATGTCCACCAGCGACGAGGTGAAGAAATCGAACCCGGGGCTCGGCTTTGCTTTTTTTGGGCTACCCCCTGTTGTTTGGTTTCAACGCCAAAGGGACACCACCCATTTGATTTGTGCTCTTTTTTTTTTTCTTTGGGGGGTGGGGCTGGACCAAACAGCATTCCATATTCATCAGCCCTGACCCTCAAACTACCCATAAAAAGGGGAGTTCACCAACCGTACATTTCCGGCAATAACCCGTGCCTCAAGGGAATGTTGCGGTTTCAGGAAGCCAAAGGCAAACTTTTTACTTTTGTTTTGTTTTGTTTTTGGGGTCCTAGAAGGAGACCCATCCACAACTCGATTTCATGCAGGGTAGACTAGAGAATATATGAAACTGGTGCATCAAATCTTGTCTGATGTTTTGCGTGCGGGTATATCCTTTCAGCACCCTTTGACTTTTCCAGGTACAGTCCCCTTTCCGCTGGGACCCAGTGAAACTGCCAACACATTGCGGGGAACTGGTTTGATTGAACGGGAGCTGATTACTGGAAAATTTGTGTATATAATAATATATACATAGACGAAGTATGAAACAGATCTGATGTTTGTGCTCAGGCCAAGATTTGTGTCCCCATCCAGAGGTTTTGCTTGAACGGTTCAAGCCTTTGGTCTATGGGGCAGACGGGGTTTGGCCGAGAGAGCAGACGGCGAGCTCATGCGAAAAGGTCCTTGGATTCAACAGCGACATGTTTTGTTTTAGGCTTTGGACTTGAAATGGCAGACCTTTCCAAATCCGATGGGATCCGAGTATGTTCGCGAATAAACGAAGACACGACCTTGCTCACTGGTTTTTGTTTTGTGGAATCTGAAATCCACACAGCCGAAACTTTGATGCTGTAACTTACCACCTGCAGCTGTTGCCCTGCGGCTCTTTGCTCCTTTGAAAGGACCTCAAGGAAACCATCCTGCAATCCCTTGGACCAGAATGTGTCAAAACCCCCCAAAAAAGCCAGCGACTCGATCAGAATCCTTCAAAACCCAAGACCTGCGAATTTGCGGAACCTAGGTTTTAGGAGAGAAACCACCTCCTTCGCGAGTGAGACGCGCCAGGCCAGCGACCGAATGCTGTTGGGACAACGCCCGCGTACCTGTGAGGAGTGATCAAGAGCTGAAATGGATGGGACCCTGAAAATTCCAGCTTGAAATTGGGATATAGCCCCAACATTCTGGGGCGATTTTTTTTTTTTTTTTTAATGGGTCGTTTGACAGTCCAACATTCTGGGGCGAAATCGTTTTTTTTTTTTTGGTTTGGGTCGTTTGAGAGTCCAACATTCTGGGGTGAAATCTCTTTTTTTTTGGGGGGGGGGTCGTTTGAGAGTCCATTCTGGGGTGAAATCGTTTTTTTTTTGGGGGGGTCGTTTGAGAGTCCAGGTGTGTGCTTGAGGATACTAGGACCCGACTGCCCCAAAACTTTGGGTTGCGACTATGAGGTCCACGTTCCCTGTTCAAACGTGCCCGGACGCCTGGACCTGGCCCAAATCTTCCAAACACTTTTGGGGCTATGACCCATGTGTCAGTTGGATTTGTTTGAGGCTTCACGTACCGAATTTTGATGTCCACTGGATTTGGGTGCCTTGCGCTCCATTGGGTGAATTATTACCCAAAGTTGTTGGGTGAACTCGCGTCTTGGGTAGTTTGAGCTTTGACTGCTATTGGGTTGGATCTTTAGACTTTAGCTTATTGGTTGAAATCAAGTTGGGTTTTCCACTAACCCCCCAACAAAAGTGATTCACTTTTTGCAGGGGGGTCGTTACAGCAACCAAGTTTTTTTGGAAATTGCTCGGGCTGTGCCAAGCCGGAGCCGCGTGTGAGTAGAATCACAAGAGCACTTGGGACTTGGGTTTGTGTCCAAATTACGAGGGACATGGTTGTTGTTGGGAAGCATTTTTCCCACTTTGGCTTGTTGTGGTCAAGCCGGAAACCCCCGCTGAACTTAACTGCAAAAAAACATAATTTGTGCTCCCCTTCCAACGTCAACCAAGGGGACCCCCCATTGAACAAACAGGGGCTCTCCTTGTGCTTGGTGATGATGCGTTTTTTTGTTGTTCTTTGTTCCGATCATCTGGTGCGATGGGTAGGGACTGACCTTCCGGATGTTGGGAATGGAACCGAGGGGGATTCCCGAATAAAGGAAACCATAGGGCATGATATTGGGGTCACTCCGTCATTTCCTGCCAAGCACCAGAAGTTTCCCACGTGATTGTTGATAGTTGTTTGTTCCGATCATGGTTGAGGTCAAGAGCAACTCGCTACTGTGCAGCCATGAAGCTAGACGTTCACTTGCCCAGTGGTAGTGGATGCTCCTTCTCCTTCGCGCCGGACACGCCCGTCAGCGAGCTGAAGGCTGCAGCGCAGCAGCATTTCCAGCGCCGCCTGAAGCTCAGTGCGCAAAATCGGCCGCTGGAGTTGACGGCCACGCTGGGCGAGGCCGGCTTGCGAGATGGGGACTTGGTGCAGGCGCTGATTCAGCCCGTCAAGCTTGCAGCCACAGCTTGGGCATTTGCCTTGCATGTCGCAGGGGGTGATGGTGTGGCCTGGGGTCTGCCAGACAGAGGGGGAGACAGCAGCCAGGTGCAAGAGCAGCTGAGGAACGTCCGGCAAATTCAAGCTACTTCTCGAGGTGCGTTTGCCGCCATTCTTGAATCTGGAGCTGTCGTGACATGGGGTGATCCGCGTTACGGTGGAAACAGCAGCCAGAGCAGCTGAGGAACGTCCGGCAAATTCAAGCGACTGAGTTTGCCTTTGCTGCCATTCTTGAATCTGGAGCTGTTGTGACATGGGGTGATTCGCGTTCCGGTGGAAACAGCAGCCAGGTGCAAGAGCAGCTGAGGAACGTCCGGCAAATTCAAGCGACTGAGTCTGCCTTTGCTGCCATTCTTGAATCTGGAGCTGTCGTGACATGGGGAATTTCAGATTTCGGCGGAGACAGCAGCCAGGTGCAAGAGCAGCTGAGGAACGTCCAGCAAATTCAAGCTACTTCTCGAGGTGCGTTTGCCGCCATTCTTGAATCTGGAGCTGTTGTGACATGGGGTGATCCGTGTTTCGGTGGAAACAGCAGCCAGGTGCAAGAGCAGCTGAGGAACGTCCGGCAAATTCAAGCGACTGAGTTTGCCTTTGCTGCCATTCTTGAATCTGGAGCTGTCGTGACCTGGGGTCTTTGGGATTTCGGCGGAGACAGCAGGCAGGTGCAAGAGCAGCTGAGGAACGTCCGGCAAATTCAAGCGACTGAGTCTGCCTTTGCTGCCATTCTTGAATCTGGAGCTGTTGTGACATGGGGTCATCCGGGTTACGGTGGAATCAGCAGCCAGGTGCAAGAGCAGCTGAGGAACGTCCGGCAAATTCAAGCGACTGAGTCTGCCTTTGCTGCCATTCTTGAATCTGGAGCTGTCGTGACATGGGGTACTTTAGATTTCGGCAGAGACAGCAGCCAGGTGCAAGAGCAGCTGAGGAACGTCCAGCAAATTCAAGCTACTTCTGGCGGTGCGTTTGCCGCCATTCTTGAATCTGGAGCTGTCGTGACATGGGGTAATTCGCGTTACGGTGGAAACAGCAGCCAGGTGCAAGAGCAGCTGAGGAACGTCCGGCAAATTCAAGCGACTGAGTTTGCCTTTGCTGCCATTCTTGAATCTGGAGCTGTTGTAACTTGGGGTGCAGATTGCGGCGGAAACAGCAGCGACGTGCAAGAGAAGATGAAGATGCTTCAGTGAGTCCAAGCCACCAACAGAGCATTTGCTGCCATTATTGCATCTGGAGATGTTGTGACATGGGGTGATCCTGACTTTGGCGGAGACAGCAGCCAGGCGCCAGAGTCAAGAAATCACTCGCCTGGAGCTCGCGGCTGGCTTTCGCCGGGTTGCGCTGACAGGTTGCTGGCCCGAGAACGGCGGCCAACACCAAAACAATACTGGCCTGGTTGCTTTGCTTCTCCACGGTTCAAAAGCGCCGGAAAAAGAGAGGCCAGGGATATTTGCATATTTCCCACGTACGGTGTCAACTAGATGCAACCTGCATGGGTCATTTCATACCATTAAGCTGTTAAATGCCAACGGGCCCAACAGGATCAGAGTTTGCTCCGCGCCTTTCTCCAAACCCTTTTTGCACGTTCCAAACTCCAGCCGTGTAGCTTGCCAGTTTCCTCGGAGTTTCAAGGTGCTTCTGGTCTCCTGAACAAATTGAATGGGGACTCACTAGTTGCAAGTGTTTACCCTTCCAATTCATAAAATACCCTTCAAAGGTGCTTGGACATGCATCCTCAACCATGTTTTCCACCATTTTGGGTGCCCAACACTCACTCGATTGCGAGGCGAGGGGACACGAGTCTTATTTTTCCCATGGCCGTAGATGTTCTCTGCGGCTCATCGGGGCGTTTTTGTTTTGCCTTTTGGACGGTGCCTCCTGTAGGTTTTGAGAAGCCAAAAGGAACGATCGCCAGTTGCATGGAGTGGGGGTTTGGCTGCCTATCGCCTTTGCAAGGATCGATTCGGGGGCGAATTCCTGCATGGCGATTTGGTCTTGGAAAACTTTGTGGATTTTCCATACCCACAACAACTTCAACACTTCTTGCAGAGGGGTCGTTGCATGTCGTTACCAAGATTCGGGTTTGCAAAGCTTCCGGACCAAAGTGCCCAGAAGTGTTATGTGGCACAACCCAACCTGCCTCATAGACAGAGAGGTGTTCTACAATCAGTCATGTTTGTATGTTTTGGGCGTGCTTTGTTGGTTTCTCAAGATGCCATGACAAGTGCAGAGAGAAGGTTGCCCTTGTTTCCTACGAAGATCTACTCGGCCGCCTCAGTTTGAGGTCTGACCGCCTGACCTGTGAGGCTGATTATCCCGTAGAAAGCCAAACTGAAGCTTCCAAGTAAGGAATTCGAGTACCTTCAGGAAGTCTATTTTGGATTACTTCTCCTTTGAATCAAGTAGCTTCTATTTCACTTGATTCTATTAATGTCTATGTCTCCTTCTATTTCAATTTGATTCTATTATTCCTTCTATTTCACGTTGTTTCTTTCGTGTTCCTACATGGCAACGTGGGCATGCGAATACCCGACAAAATTGTCAACCGCCATGTGAAGGCCCGCCCAAACCGATAGCCTCCGTCACTCATGTCAACTCATCACCGTCGCTTGGTTGATTGCCCCACAAAATGCTGATTTCCACGTTGGGCTCCCAGTAAAATACCAACCAAATGAGAGGGGTGTGCACCTCCAAAAAGGCATGCCAGATGGATTCAAATATTGCAAGTGGGAAACCGACAAGGGGCTGCCTCAAGAAACCAGCCGCAACGCAAGGCTCAAAGAATTAGAATCAGATTGTGAGATACGTACAAAGCCAACTACAGTCATCGCAGGACAATGTTTAGTGTAGTTGTTTTACCACCATGGCCTTTGATCCAGTGGTTTTTTTCTTCACAAAGCGCAGGGTACTCTTTTCTTGTTTCGGGCAGAGGGTCAACCGCAAATTTGATCGGACATTAGATTCAAATGGTGCAAGTAGGAAACCAGGGAAGAACCCAATTCTAGAGACACCAAGTAGATGTACAATAAAATTTCAAATAAGCCAAGGAACCAAGCCCAGCTGCCTTGATACTCACAAAAGTATTTTATGTCCATAGAGGGTCCGCCAGTTTGGCGGGTCTAAGATTATTCCCACTACCAGCAAGCGACTATGCCCAGGGCTTTAACCACAATAAAAGCTGCTATCTAAGAATCGCCCCTGTTTTTTTCCCCTGTGGGTAATGGTTTTCGGGGAGTGTAAACTATCATAGAGAGGGCAAGCATCTCCCATGTCCACAACCCAGCCGCCTTTTTTCCCAGCGTACAGAGGGTTTGCTTGTTTTGGTCGCGTCGCGAGTCTTAGAGCTATCAATCACAATAGGACCGCAAGAACGGCAGTTTTCCTCTTGCTTCCCTTTAAAACGGCCCCACATTGGGCAATTAGTCAAAATGGGTGATTCGAAGCTCTGGTTAGTGATTTGCGTTTTGTTAATCTCAAGCTACCCTTGCGTAGTTGCCCCAAACATATGGTGAGTGGTGTCCCTTTTTCAAAACGTAGCTTCTTCAGGTCCAGGTACCCGGAGCGAGGGTTCCTTGTCCCCATTCGAATGGCAAGGACCCACGGATGACAATCTCCAGGTAAGCCATACCTGGAGTCTCCATGACCCTTGAAAAATGGGGTTATTACCCAAAATAATGGGGTCATTGACCCATTTTTCAAGGGTCATGGAGACTCCATCTAGTTGTTATATGAACCTCCTTTGTTTTGATGGTTTGAACACTAGGGGATCCCCCGTCAACACTTTGAAAAAAGGGTAGCTGCAAAATTCACCCATCGTTTCGGGGCGAACAACTTCTAAGTTGCCCTCAGCATCTTGGGCCCTCAACACGGCCTCTTTTGAGGTCCAAAACCTTTGAATGGAAACCTGGAGCTCAATAATGGTTAGGGTGTGCTAATTTGAGGAGACTTCTTGGACCTTCCTGAGATTCCGCCTTTCCATGTGAGGACATGGTGGTCCCAGCGGCTTCGGCGGCGTCCACTCGCTTCTCCTTCGGCCTGGCGCGCTACGCCGCCTCCCTGCACGTGGTGCTGGGGCACCTGCACGCGCGGAATTTGAGCGGCGGTGCGCTCCACGGCGGCAGAGCGGAAGAAACACCACACCGGGGGGGGGCGGCGTTTCTCATTCCATTTCTCATTCCCTATCAAGTTGTTTCACGGTTTCCCCTTTTGGGCCTCATGGTCTCTGAACCCAACTAGGTCCCCCAGCAGCTGGCGCCAACTTGGACCGTTTCTTTTTTTGGTTGGGAGGGTTCCCCTAGACTGCAGGAAAAAGGAGAGCCTCTCAAATCTGAAGGACCTAGGGTACAGTCGTAGCAAAAGCCGTAGGATTCACAGGTAAACCCCAAGCATTTGAGTGAGTTGTTCAAAAAAGTGGTTTTCCGGTATTTGAAGGAAAGATCTCAAGTCCCCAGATCTCAAGTGCCCCTCATTTGCCATGGCCGCTGCGGGTCTCAACTCTTTTAGTTGCCAGCCCAGTGGAACCTCATCATAGCAGGTAACCACTATAGCCCATGTTCCTTTTAGCTTTGAAGGTTGGTTTGCTTGGTTTGTTAATTACAATACCAGGTTGAAATGGACTCACACCTGGAAACTCTTTCGGCTGAAATTTCAGCCGGAATCTGAAATGCATCAAATTTCAGCCGAAGACACATAATTTTCCCGGAATCGGCAAAAACAGCCGGAATTAGACCGCTGAGGCTCAAGGAGAGTAATACTCGTAGCCGCCGGAATGGACTCAAGTTTCTTATTCGAAAAGTTTCGCCGGAATTGTGGGAAGATTCGCCGGAATTGTGGGAAGATTCGCCGGAATTGCGGGAAGCTTCGCCGGAATTGCGGAAAGTCGGGTGACACAAGCCACCAACAAAACAACGCAATAATCCTGCTTAAACTGCCGGCCAGTTGAAGAATGGCCGAACGGCTAAAAATTGGCCGGCAATGGAAAAAGGATACTTTTTCGAAAAAGGCTATTATTTCGTGGCATTTCGATTTTCTAGGGCATGAGAGGTCGAACCCCATGGGCTGGAACTGGACCTCTGGAAGGCTACAAGGAAGCCAGGCAGTTTAGAGGACCATCTTCAGAACCACTATGTGGGAGTGAAGCCGGAGGCTGTTTCTTTATTTTTGTTGAAGTTCCACCAAGGTCGGGACTCCTAATTTGACACATACCGGTCTTTTTTGCTACACATGTGGCTACTTGAGGGTTCCCCCATTTAGGTATGGGTTTCGGAGCTATGAAGGTGTGTATCATATATGTAAAGCCCTATAGTAGGTGCACCAGCGTCTGAATTTGTTGTTGTTGCAGGTTTGGGAGGCCCTCGAAATTCCAACTCAAAAATCGGGTGAACGCCCTAAAATGATGGGGGTGACTTCCTTTTTTTATCGGTAGCTTGAGGGTCCAGGCACTTGTAAACAAACACAATATTTGATTACTTGCAGCACCTTGAGGTTGCTCACTGAGCAGTGGGTGTCTGGTCAAGTCACGAGTTGCGTTTGCGGTCTAACGAGAGAATCCATGGAAGCGATAAGGGGAGGGGGAATTGCTGCTGTGGACATCCGCATCGCACTTGGGATGAAAGCTAAACCGCATTCCAACTGAGGGGGCGAGGCATCTGGACCTACCAACCTGATTTCTTGGCCACTCTTTGAAGGCTTTGGGTCTTACTCTTTTTTTCCTGGCTGTTCAGGGAATGAGCCGGAAGGGGATTCCTTTAAAAAAATGTTGGGAATGAACCGGAAGGGGATTCCCGAATAAAGGAATCCAGCAGAAGTTTTTTTTTTGTTAAATGGGGGTCATTCCATTTCTCATTCCCTATCAAGTTGTTTCACGGTTTCCCCTTTTGGGCCTCATGGTCTCTGAACCCATCTAGGTCCCCCAGCAATTGGTGCCAACTTTGACCAACCCCTTTTTCGATTGGGCAGCTTCCCCTTTTTTTTGAACGGCTGCTAGGAGGAGCTCCTGTGCCAAGCGCCTACGGCGCACTGTGCTAGCTGCTCTCAGACAAAAAAAGCGAGCCACACCACAAAACAAGAGAAAAAGCGGGGGGCCACCACCAAACCGACCAACTCCCCAAAAACGAACCAACCAACACGCAATCAGCGCGAAGCCAGGGCGGTGCCAGCACAGTCTGGCACCTGAGCGGCTTGGCGGGCAAAGGGCGGAACTCTGCCATGCTGCACATCAATGGAAAAAACGTCCGTCAGCTGAAGTGAAGGAGAACGCACCCAAGTCAAGAGCCTGGGCCCAGGCTTTTGCAGATTGAATGGCAAGCAATCCATCAGGGTGAAGCACATCTTCAGGCCCGTCGCACGAGCTGGCCCAATTCTGCAAACAGGAGCTCGCACATTCCAGTTCAGAGGCCTTTGCATTGTTGGCAAGACCAAGGAAAAGGGCTTCTGGGCAGAACGCTTCCTTTTCGAGCGCCCCAACGTACCAATTAGCCACGACGCTATCAAGCACATTCCTGCAATCCTCGCACACGAAGGCAGGGGCCTCAGGGACTTCAGTGGCTTGAGCGGGACAACGGGGGTTACTCAAAGCAAACTCGAAGCAAGTCGGAATTCGAGGCCCATGCAGCCTGACTGACCTAATTCTTCGAAAGCCACGCAAATGCTGCGGCATGCTGATTGTAACGCAGTCTCCTTCGGACCTTGGCGGTAACGCTTCCCTAAGCATGCTCAGGCATCCAGAGCGTTTAAGGTGTTTGGCAAGCCTCTTGGTGGAGAAACATTCAAGCAAACACCAGGCGCAGTGCGAGTCAAACATGTATCTGTGCTCAGGCGCGCGCACGCCATGCTTGAAGTACGCATGCACAGCCGCGTGCTGCTTGGTCGCAAATTGGGCATCACACAAGTTGCACAGAAAGGGCGTGTTGTCCTCAGCAAGGCATTCAAGTGGCAAACTGGCTTGGCATTCAACAGGGCCCTGCAGGGCTCCAAGGGCCTTACTTGCAGCGCGCCGCTCTGCCGCCTTGCGCTGGGCTGAAAGAACCTTGCCGCAAGCTTTCTTTAGCCACCCATTCCACCGCGTAGCGTTACCAACAACAAGCCGGCGCAGCGCCCCAACATTCATACAGTCCGACGCAGTGAGGCAATCTGGCAGTAGGCGGTGCAACCACACTGCATCCTCCAGAATTTGGGCAACCCAGGAATTGGCAAGACCGGATTCCTGGTCGATCAAGATCCAAAGCAGTTCAGGGCCCCACAGGCAGACCTGCCGGAAATATCTGAGTCTGTGATGCCGCAAGGTTGTTAGCGCATCTGGTCTGTTGGCTTGCGCCAGCACATGGACATTGCTGCACAATTGCTTGTCAGGGTGGTTAGTGAGGCCAGTGGCTTCTCTGTAGAGCTGCATCATGCAGGCGGACACACGATTGGCTTCAGGATTGCTCAAGTGATGCCACAGTCCAGCATTGTACAGCAAACGAGAGAAGGCCAACGCTTCGCCTACTACCAGCTTCTTTTCGACAACCACATGTGGGTTTCGCAGAACAGGCTTGCGAATCTCTTTCACCGCCGCTTTGAAGCTGTTGACACGCGCTTCAAGCTCGGGCGCAAAGCTTCCTGCGGCAGCAAACATACCGCCCAAATGTTTGTATGAAGGCGCAACAACGAGTTCGCAAACACTGCCGTCAGGAGTACGTACTGGCAAACGTGATTTCAAGTCAACATGCACCCTACGTCTCTCTTTGTCAGCCCCACAGCCGCGCAGCGAAAGCACAGCCTCGGTTTTCCCTTTTGTGAGGTTGCAATCCAGGCCGTGCTTTCGGAAGGCTGCCCATGCTATCTCAAGCACATCTGTAAGTGAGCCAACAACTTCGCAAGCACGGGGGCAACTGATCATGAGCGCAAGGTCATCGGCCCAACTCACGCCCGGAAAGAGAGCCTTTCTGCGAGGCTGCGTGGCAACAGCAAAATCGGATTGAAGGCCTCTATCCTCCAGCTCTTCATGAATGTGCATGCGGACACTGCTTAGCAAGCAAGCAAAAATCACATCTGCGAGGGCAGTTCCAGGCCGAGATCCTCGCAAGGTTACTGCCACATCAGCTTCGTGCTCAAAGCCAAACCACGTGTGGGAGAAGGCTTCCTTGAGCTTGCATTGCGTGGGCACATCCATCGGGGCAGCTGCAAACGGGTCAATGTTTGCAATGAGACTTTGTACTTCCTCTCTCTGCAAGGCACCCATGCCTACCTTGCACAAAAGCGTGTTAAGGGATCTCATGTCGTGACACCCGAACACAACCTCTCTCAGAACAGAATAATAGGCGTTGGCCACATCCAGGAACAACGTTGCCGATGATTGCCCGGATCTGCGGCACACTGTCTCGAAAGTCTTTACAATGTGACACGCAAAGATGGCCGACTGCCGAGGGAAGCAGCCGAGCTGGGAGTCTTCCAGCGAGCTGGCAAGCGGGCGCAAAACCGATGTTCTCAGAAGGCCATGCCACGTTTTTGTGAAAGCTTCCGTGAGGAGTATTGACCTGTACTGGCCAACCACATTGCCAGCACCTTTTCCCTTGAAAAGCGCCACAGCAATCGCGCCCTTCATTTGAAATGGTTCCCGGTTAAAACCGCCATTTTGAGAAAAAGAGGCGCCAGCAAAGCAGCGCTTTCAACAGGGAAACAAGCCAAAAGGTCGGGGTATATCCGGTCACACCCAGGCGCTTTGTTGCGCTTGGCTTTGAGGCACTGCTGCTCAATATCAACTAGAGAGTAAAGGCCGCCAAGGGAGCACTCCACATGCTGGCTGCGCGACTCCTGTTGCGTGAGGCACTCGCGAAAGCAAGCTTGGTAGCTGTCAACTTCCCCAGCTTCTATTGCAGCAAAATGCGCCAAGCACTCGTCAAGCACTTTCTGGTACCTAGCGCTGGCGGCCTGCCGCTTCCTGGCTGCTTTGGGAAGCATGGGCTGCAACTGTTTATAGAGTGCAGCAACGCCATGTGAGCAGGCCTCAGTTCCAGCGCTCTCCGCAAGGCTTTCAAGGTAAGCTGCTTTATCCCTGCACAAGGCAGCTTTGATCTGCGCGCCAAGTGTCCTGCAGGCCTGTTTGGCTTGCGCACTGCGGTGCAAGGCGAGCTGCTCGTCTTGCGTGCGAGTCAGTGCAAACAGGGCAGAACTTGCGCTTGCACGGCCAGCTGCGACTTTCCACAAAAGAAAATACCGCTGCTTGCTCAAGGTTCGCAGCACTGCCCTGGCACACTTGTCCAGCCGAAGCTGCTCTTTTTTGTGGCAAACAAGCTCCCAAGTGTCAGGCCTGATGAAAGGCTTCCTAGGCTTGCACGGCTGAGAAGGGATGACCTTCTGCAAAGAAAGAAGCACCTGCTGACACAGACTGGCGTAATGGTCATGTACGCTGGCTGGCCAGGACATCGCTTTCTGGTTCCGGGCCAACTGCTTGAGACAAAACGATATCGCGCCTTTCTTTTCAGGGTCAGCCAACTTGCTTGGGTCAAAAGCACGGCCTCTCTTTCGGCTTGGCGGCTGATGCCGTAGCATGAGTGTGGGCTGACATGTGACGGCAACAGCACGGTGGTCAACTTTTAGCAGGGAAAGGTCAAGATCAACCTCGACGAAGGCTTGAGTCTGAGCTCCAACCGTTTTCGTTTTCTGGCGTGGCGTTGGCTGCTCCTACATGCTGCGAGGTCCGGCTGCCAACGGCAGCGTTTGCGTCCGCAAGCAGGATGCAAGGCCACATGCGCAAATGGGTTGGCACACATTGTTTGACTGATGCCCAGTAGGAGGCCTTAGTCTCAGCGCTGGCAAGCTGGTGCGGCGCGTGCGCAACAATCACGTTACAGCGCAGGATGCGAGTGTGAATGTGGACAGCAAGCAAGCGCGGGTTTCCCACAAGCAACGCAACATTGTGGGGCGCGAAGAAACAAGGCCCAACTGCGTCAGATCCATGGGCGCACGTCCTAGACAGCCACAGGGCGACTCCAAGTTGACCTTTGTCTGCAGCGGCGTACACAGCCACAAAGTTTGGAGTGCTGTGAACGCCATTCAGGGCCAACCTTGTCTCCTGCAATCCTATGGCAACGTATTCGAGGCGCTCAAATTTGGCCCTTAGAAACTCAGCACGCGCTGTCACGTTTAGACCCAGCGCAACACCTACACCCGCACTTCTGCAGCCTTTTGCGAAGACGATCTCCTGGGGCGAGTGTCAGGACATTGGCGCTCGCAAGCTTCAACTGAAGCTGCGCACGTGCTTGCTGCTGCGCAGGGCGTATGCCGTGCCTGACGAAAGCATGCGTTCGACCCTGTCGATCAAGGGCAGGGCTTGGCAATCCAACGCAGAGCTGCTTACGCACGAGCTGCGGGAACGACGGGTTTCCAACCATAGCTTGGCACGCGAGCCAAAGCCACTCGCAATCATCACTGGCCCGAGCCAGGTCACCAAGCAAGCTGGCAGGGAAAGAAGAGGGCAGCAAGCCCCCAGTCCGTGTGCGGGATGCAATGCTATCTGCTGCTTCATTCCAAGGCTCACCAGCATGTGCCTTCACATGCGAGTATGTCACCTGTGTTGCAAATTCCAGCACTTGGCACAGGGATCTCAACGCACACAAAGTTGTGGTGTCATGCGCTGCGCGCGCTTGGCCTGCTGCGCGCAATCCGGCACTGCTGGAGTCAAATCTGAGCTCGACCTCCGGGATAGGTCGTTGGGCTGCCAGCTTCAGGCATGTCACTGTTGCAGCAAGGAGTGCTCCGACCTCTGCAAAGTACGCGCTTGCCATAGGATGTAGCTTGCCATTGAGGCAGCCGCACCAGTGCAAGCAACCAGCTGACTCAGCAAGCACAACTACGGACCAAGCAGCTGTGTCATTGTTCCAAGTGTGCTGCGCCGACCCATCCGTGTACACGACTAGCTTATCTATCTGCAAGGGCACTGCATGCTTGACCCATCTCAATGCCTCTGTGGTGTTGTCATGCCACTCAATGCTTGGTACGTCAGGGCTGATTATATCATGAATGTCTTCAGATCTGGCAAACAGGTTATGGAGCAAACTGATAGGACCAGAAAGGTCGATCCACCCTTTGTCCACCTCACATGCAGCACGCAGCAGCTCCGCAGAGCCATCGTCAGTTCTGGCCTCACCACATCCATAACTGGGCAAGCGTGTGTCAACTGCTGCATCTAGAGCTCCATTTACTGCTTGTTTGGACGCGGGAACAGTTAGGGCGTCACCACAACCCAAACTGCTTGTCTGCTTCAAGCAGGCGCCAGGTCGTTGATTTGCGCTTTTGTTGCTGGGAACACAACCGCGGGAACCATTTATGGCATAACCACATCCAAAAATGGCATTTGGCAACTCATCCAGCACAACATGCTGGCTGGCATGGGACCATGCGTCACGGTCTGTGTCAAAAGCTTGCTTAGGCACGGCGTCTGCGGCACTAGGCAAACCACCATTTAGACCGGGGGCCAAACCAACCGACCAACCGCAAAGTTCAACAAGTTGTTCAGACATCAGATTGAGAGCTGCGGCTGCGGTGCGAGCACTCTGTACAACTGGAAAACTGCCGGAAACGCTTTCTAGCAACCTACTTGCCGGCAGCTCAGGCAGAAAGTAGAGCAACTCCACCGCCTCAGCAAACGTCACTTGCCCCCGTTCTTTGCTCCAGCCCCGCGAAAAACCTGCATGGCAGGCTTTCGCGGCTTGGAGCGGAATTTGGCCTCTTGCCATGTCTGCGGGGACCGGGATCTGGCTCTGTCTGAGCCTGCCTTTGTCTGCTCGAGCTCTGCGTTCTTGGCCTCCTCTGCAAGCTCGGTCGGCTTCCAGCTCGGTTCTTGAAGGCAAACTGGCAGCATCCGACTCTCCCCCTTTGCGTTTGCACCGTGTCGCCTCCATGTCGAGATCGCTCTTCTCCGCTTCTTCGTCGTCTGAGAGCAAATCGCTCACTTCGAAGGTCGGTGGCTTCGGAGGCTGTGCATCTGCTTGGAGCTTGGCAAGCAACTCGGAGGGGTCGCAGCCACTGATCACCTCTGCCTTGTTGGGCGGTCCAGACACGTCTTCCTTGGTTTGCGTCAGAAGCTCCTGCATTTGGCTCTGAATCAGCTGCTCCTGCTCCGCAGCTTCCGTGATCTGATCCTGCAACTGTGTCAGCGCAGCGTTGAACTCGTTCCTGCGAAGCTGCAAGTACTGAGTCATGTCCAAGATGAATTTGGACCACTGCGTCTGCAACTGCTCTTTTGATGCACGCATCTTGGCCAGCTTGCGTTGAACCTTCTGCAGCTGGTTCGTCTGACCTCTCAGCTGAGGCGCCAAGGGCTTTTCCACGGCAAGCTTGTCCACAACCGCCTGCAACTGTGGGCTGAGACTCACCCCACCTTTGAGTGACATCTCTTGGACAAAACGGGCAAGCTCCTGCGCGTCCTTGCTGAGGCCGTCCTTCGGCATGTCCTGGTGCCGGCGTAGGAACTGCTGCGGTATCCTTTCCCAAGCTGTAGTACTGGACGTTCTGCTTGCTCATGCCTTCCACAACATCCCTGGCAGAAACCTTGCTGTGCTGCGAGGGCTGCTGTGACAGCCCAGAAGAACGCAAGTCTGGCGGCACCTGAAAAGAGGGAGCTTCTTTCTTTCTCTCCTCTGCTGCTCGGGCTTCTTTGGCAAGCTTTTGGCGCTGTCTCCTCGATTGGCTTCTTGTCCTTGCAGGGTCTGCATCCCCTTTCCATTCTTGGTGGCTCCAACCACTGTAGCGCGATTGCTGCCAATCTGCACCACACCTCCCGCAATAGCTGAGGTTGCCAGGGACACGAAACCCGCAACTGCACCACCAGCTACTCATTTGCGGCAAGTTTGTGTGATTGAGCGTCTTGTTGAAAGAGTGGTGCGCCTTCAGCTGCTGCAATGCGCTCTGAACTGACGAAGGATCAAACCAGAATGGAAAACGCTTGCCAACCCAAACTATGTGCCGCGCCCTTGACCTCTTCCTCCGCAAAGATCTATGCCAGGCTGGTTCGCGGGCGCCGGTCGTAATGGCTGACCTGCCTCGCTAAGGTCTGGAAAGCTATTAATTGGGCTTCCTGAGCCAGACCTTAGCTTCCCCTAGCAAAATAGACTACCGAAAAAAGTTGGTACCCTTATTCTAACCTCTCAAATCTGGAGGACCTAGGGTCCAGTCGTAGCGAAAACCGCCAGATTTCCACGGGTCACCAAATGGAAGTCTTGGGGTTTTATGGACTCGGAGCCCAAAATTTTCCGGCGCAAAAAGCTCTGCTTCACGGAGCTCTGTCCCGAGGTACATCTGCTGCTGGGGCTACACCTGGGTGCCCTGGTTCTTTATGCTCTCCGGCTTCATCTTGTGCGCCGCGGAGATCAAGAATCCGCGCCAGGCCCCGAAAAACACCCGCAGGGCCCCGCAGGGCCCCGCGGGCCTCTGGGGGCGGTGAGGCGGTCATCTTTCTGGTTGGGCCGGCAGTGCCGGTCTTTCTGGCCTTGGTTCTTCTTGTCACGATTCTAGTAGCAAACAGAAGATCAAGCTGCTTTTTGGAGCTCAGGAAGTGAGTTTCCTTTCGTTTTTAAGCATCATGGTGTGTTGTTTTCGCATCATGTTGGCCATTTTGTTGCGATGTGTCCTAGGTTTTGCCGGGAATACGGAGGACCCTCGCAGTTGGGCGGGTTGGGATCCAGGACTAACCTTCAAATGGCTGGGAGTGTGGGGGGCTGAGCGGGCCTGCCAACCATGTCCAGCGCCACCCGGATTACATTGGCTTGTCAGCCAACATTCAGGGTTTCAACTATCCCAACTGGTGCAGGATTCTGTTCATCCACAGCAGTGGACCCCAATAGAACTTCAAGAGTTGTAGTCGCCGGGGGGGGGGCTCTTCACAACAGGAACATGGACAGTTCTCTGTTGGAGGGGAATCTGTCGATGAGATCTCTCCCCCTTCTTTTGCCAGCAACCCCGCTTGTGTTTTTCTGTCCAGGTTATCAAAGCCAGGATGGTCATTTCACAAAAAGAAGAAGAAGCAACAACAACTATCCAGCTTGACTTTATCCAGCGTGAACGCCAGAAGCAACACAGGCCATGGCCTACCTTTTGAAGCCTGCTGAGCTATTGGCCAGCTGGTTTCAGCGCCTGTGCCTTTTCCAGATACCAAGAACCCCCCCCCCCCCAATTTCCGGGGCCGGGCCATTGTGACTTCGGGTTGAGCAAATGGTTGGTTGGTAGCTTCCCTTCAAACCACTTGTCTGACCTTTTGTAAAACAAATACATGAGGCCAGCTATTTTGACACGCTTCTCCCCCCAGCCCCCCCCCTTTTGCAATCCCCAATGTGGACAAAATCCAGTCGGGATGGACTTGAAACCCAGATACACCTTCCTCCGATCAACCAGGTGTCTGAATCCGTCGATACTGCGAACTCCTCCAAAACGATTTTAGGCTCATCTGAAAATATTGCTATGGCTTTCAATAGGGAGCCCGATGGAACCCCCAAACTGGTTAATATAAATCCCCCCCAACTAAACCCCCTCCCCCCCGAGAACAAAAAACAAAAACAAAAAACGGCACGCTTATGTGTGCCATGGCCCAAAACCCTTTGATCTAGGGTTAGGGATGGTTTCCCCCCTGCCTGGAGATTAATTTCTCCATGAATTTCCTGGTAGTTCTCGTCTTTAACTTGCTTTTCCTAAACCTGATGGTTTTTTTTTTGCGTGAAGTCGCCTAAAACAACAAAAACTCATACTTTCGCGAGATTTTAGACTTGGTCCCTTTCTACATGTTCCCCGCCCAGAATTACCCGCAAAACGCCCGCAGAAAGCCCGCAAACGCCCGCAAAACCTCGCAAACACCCGCAAATCAGAAAAATACGTTTTTTGGGTTCCGGGGTCGCCCAAAACTCCTAGCAATCACTCAGAACGCCCAACACGCCCAAAACTACCAGGAAACAAAAACGCCTAGGAAAAGGACGAAGAATGAATCTCCCGGTGCGGTTTTGGACAGGGGTTGCGAAGCAGACAACTCAATGTCCAGGAGGCGATGTGAAACATATAATTTTCACTTTGTTAATTTGTTGTGTCTTTACGTATCGGGGGGTGTTTTTCTTTAGAGGACCCCGGGATTTCCCAGCGTGGCTCCAACAAAAGGGGTACCCCCACCCCCGGTTTGCCGCTGGAGCGGCCTTACCGCCGAAGTCGTCCAAGTCGTCGCGAGGAGTCCTTCGTGGACTACGTGGCCCGCCGGCTCGCCAAGAGCTCAGCTCTCGGATCGACGCTCCCAGCCGCCGAGCGCCAGGTTTGGTCAACGGGTGAAGCAAAACATGGCATGGGGTTGGGAGTTCGGGGGTGGGGGGTGGGGGGTTTTATGACCCTCGGGATTCCAGCTTAGAAATGGGTTCTGGCCTCAAGAGTGTGGTTGCCGAAACTTTTTTTCATAGGTTTGAGGGTGCGGGTGTGTGGTTCGGCCCATTTTTTAGCCAATGTCGTAAGAGAAGAAGGCCGGGCCCTCCATTGAAAAACCTTTGGATCTGCCGGGGTCCAGCCCAAACTTGGCCATCCCGCCCCTTGGTTCATCACTAAGCACCCGCATGGACCAGAAGAAACGACCCAGAAAAAGGGAATTCACCAACCATACGTTTAGGCAGCAATTCACTCATGTTTAAGCTGGAATCTTGAGGCTTCAGGCACATGCATTCCATGGTAAAGTGGGAAGAGGGAACCATCATGTGAAACCAGGTGAACCGCTCTGTGCAGCGGCAGTAGCGACTGGAAACATGTAAATATATTTTGCAAATATGCCCTGCCTAACTCATGTCAAACGTAACTTGGCAAATTGATGAGTCAAGGCCATCTTGGAGCATTTGCTTGACATGTGTGCGTGCCACGTTTGGATGCCCAAAGAAGTAGGCACCTTGTTGCCTCTGAGGGCAACAAAAAAAACACAGGTATGCGTTCCTGGGGTTCTTCGGGACATCAGAAACGGGTTGAACCACAAGTTGGTCTTCAAGGTCTTCGTAGCGAAGACTGGCCTTGCACCTCACCGCGATAATCGCCATGCACGTTGAGGAAGCAGCCAGGTGGGGTTCTTTTTTTGGTAAGTGTCCTTCCAGTTGAACATGGGGAAACAACTAACACCCATATTGACTTTGCATGATCCATATCCTATGTTACTTAAACTTGACTCCCTTTTCGCTGCAAAAGGTTGCCGAGCTCCCTATACTTCGCGTTTTTGGATATGTGTTTGTTGGATTTGAGCATCCCGCTTAATTTGGATGTTCCATTTCTTCTGTGGGGCGATGCGTGGGCAAAAAAGCACGCTGCGAGCCCCTCCAGTTGCTGAAATGAAAGGTCTTTATTGTCCCCTGTTGGTTTTAAAGGGAAAGAATGGACAACGTATTGTTTAGCTGTGTGTTGCTTATTTTACTGAACATATTGGTTGTAATCTATTTGACTGGAAATATGTCTTTCTTTTTGTCCCCATGTTTTGTTCGGTTTTAATGCTGGAATATCTCACTATACCGAACATATGGTTTCCGTTCTTTCTCCCAGGGCGCTTGTTTGGGCCAATGGAGCCAAGCCTGTTTACTACACTCCCGACGATTCCATGGACGCTCCCAAATTGGCCTCTGATGGAACCAAGTCTCAAAGGGACCTGGCAGCTTGGAATCGCCTGGGGGACCCGGCAGGTCACCATCTATCCGGTGTACGCCTTTGGTCTCCTGGTGGCCTGTTGCCTGGCGAATCTCAACGCACCCAGCGCTTGGGTGCTGGTGCTTCAGGCGCAACCCGAACTGATTGCCCCCGTTTGCTTAAGACTATGTTTGTTTGTTTTTTCTCTTGTTGGTGTTAAAAGGAATTCATCACTACTGGAAATATGTTGTGTTTTTTTGTTTTTTTTCAGGGGGCTTAACCAAATAGAAGATTGGCTGCAACTGAGTGTTTAGCTTCAGGGTACTGGGATCACTCGGGGTTCATCCAACCACTTCTGTGATACTGTTGGGAATCCCCCACTGAATTAATATGGGGGCTTAGTCTTTGAGAAGCCCTTTCTGTTGCATCACAGAAGTGGATTCCATTTCCCACAGCCCTGTTTAGCTTTGTTGTAGGGCTGCGGACTGTTTGTTGGAAACGTTTGAGGGGTTTTGATTGGGGCCGGGCCTCAAGTACGTTCGACACCCGCCGAGGGGTGGCTTTGGGTTTTCCATATATGGCTTACCGTTTTTTTTGCCGTTTGGCGTCGCGACGGAGGTAACATATGTTTGAACCACCAGAGGTTGTTGAAGCAGTGGTTTTGGAATTTTCGAGGGTTGAGGCATGTCTAATGCGGCTGGCATAATCATTTAGTTTTGGTCATGGTTGTTCCCTGGCAGCCATGTTCCATCAACAATGTCTTCATAGATACTGCTTCTTTGGGGATCCGCCATATTTAGATGGTTCCTTGTATGAGGATGTCTATTGCCCTCAGGATCCTGACAGATTTGAGGCCAACATGGATCCCTGCAGGGGACAAGTGTTGAGAAATTGGATTGGATCCGTCCTTTCCAGAAGCCCAGAATCGAACACCAGGCAATCGGAAGGCAGCAGGGTGCAGCAAGCCTGCCGGGTCTTTACCATTACGCCTCATTGGACCCTCCATTGAAGGGGTCCAACCGGACCGAGCCGATTGGAAGGTGTTGGACCTTAGACTGCTGCCTTTAAGAATGAGGTTTGACGCAGGGGTGAAACCGGTGGACTCATGTAAGCTTGACTATGACTTAAGAAGGTTTGCCATGCGGTTGAGGAATCTGTGTGAGGCACGATGGGTGCGGCACAAGGAATGGGTTGATCCCTCTGACGACAACTGCTCACCGGGCCATGTCTTGCGCAAAGCTAGAAAGTGCCTTGTAGTTCAGGTGGGAGCCCATGGGCCCCCTAAGACCGGAAGCGTCAACAGTGTTTGGGCAACCCGGGGTGCTAACCGCTTACTCACTTGGCCCAACACAAGTTGTGGAGGCCCTTTTCCCCCCTTTTACCGTTTCTTTTTTGTGGGAGGGTTCCCCTACTAAAATAGACAGAAAAAAAGGGTATCCTTATTCTAACCTCTCTAATGGAGGACCTAGCTTCTTATCTTGTTTGGCCTCTTGGTCCTTGGTGTATGCCTTGTTCAGTTGTAACACTTCAGCCCCCAGATCCTCAACCAGAAATGGGTCGGTTTCTGTCCCGCTCGGATCCCCAACCCATCTCAGGGTAAATATGAAACTGCAAATTATTGCGAAATCCAGACGTGGGCCAAGATTTGAGTCCCCAACCGCCCTTCGGGTCATTTGCGGTATACCAAATAGAATCATAAGACTCATAAGAACATTTATGAGTAAAACCCGGACCCTCAAATAGTCCTTAAACATAGAATCTACCTCATAACTTCAAGCAATAACCCAATGCTAAGGGTATTTGGAGGGAACCCCTCGGCTTTTCTTCTCTCTTTTTTTCGCCGTGGTCTCCTTGGGGTAGCAAGCCTCCATTGCTCCACGGCTCCACACCACGCGTGGAATCCCCGAAGCTGCGCGAGGCGTGGCTGCTGCAAGCCTGGCTGCCCTTGATCACGGAGTGGGGCTTGCAGATGCAGCGCCTCGGAGGGGACAAAATCCCAAAGGCCCAAAACGTCCATGTGCTGAAATGAACACATATATATATATATATGTATTATAAGTATTTTTCTTTATATATTATATACATATGATTGGTATTGTCGGGTTCAGAGCGGGCCGTAACGAGGTCTTGTCAGGCTGCAAACAGGACATTCGTAGGATCAGCCATCGCGCAGCTGCCGGGCATCTTCTGCTCGAGCACTCAGCTGGGAGTGCAGAGGGGTGGCAGCCATGCTTCCTGCTTGATTTGCGGGTGTGTGGTATGTCTCTTCTTTTCTTTGCTGCCCACATTTGTGGAGTATTGGTTATCCGCCACGAGTGTTGGCAGCATGGCCACCCGTCACCGTGCTAGACATGCTTCATCTTCAAAGCTGCGGAGGGACTTTGTCCGTTGTTGGGACTTCAGGCGGCGGAGGGCGAGTGTTTTTATTTTGGAATTTGGGTTGGATTCGTGCGAAGCTGCCTTGAGCGCTTCTTTGGGGGTAGTCTTGTCCGATGCCAGGGACCCTTTTGTCAGATATTTCCACAGCTGGATGAAGCCCGCAGACCTCCCGAAGGCCAGGGGGCGGCAACGAGACATTTTCCCTTTGCCGTCATGCCGCAGTTGGCCACTTTGCGGTTCTGAGCCCGCTATGGACCTCAGGCCTGGTTCAAGGGAAAAAGCGGCGCACGAGCACGTTGCGCAGCGTTGCGTGCGTTTTCTGCATGAGCTGAAACAGCACCAGGGTGGTACTTTTTCTTGGCATGGCCGCTTCCAAGCTTCTGAGTCCAAGGCTGTTTGCAAGTATCCGCCAATGCAAGCTGATGCAGTCGACTTGCCCACCCAAGCCGGCACATGCGACCGCTGCCTGCAGATCTCGTCAGTGACATCAGGAGCATGCAGGCAGTTTTTCCCACTTCTGCTGTCCTGACCACAGCTATGAGTTCACCGGCGCGTCCCGCATTGAGTATACCAAGTTGGTTTTGCGGCAGTTGAGATGCGGCAAGGTGGCGCTCAGACGGCAGTGCAGGGCCTTGGGAGATGTTTTCTGCGTTGCCAAGTCAACCCATCTGAAGCTGCGCGAAAGCCAGCACCTCCTGAGAAGCTCGCGAATCCCAGCTGCTTCACCGACTTGCTCTTCAGGGCAGAGGAAGATGTCTTCATGTCGAAGCGGGATGTCCACACCTGCTTTGACGTCTTGAGGGCACCCGCACACCTGCAAGAGTGGTTTGGCAGGCCGCCTGTGACTCTTCATGAGTTGAGCCAGATTGGTCATGTGAGCCCGCACAGTTTGCAGCAGTATGTTGTGGATACAGATGGTGGTACAGTTCCTCTCTTCACACCTTTGTTTCCCACGAGCACAGTTTGGCCAATGGGTTTCAGCTGGAGCTCCTGCGTGGCGCAAGCTTGCGCTGCCTGCTGTCGGGAGGCCGGAGTGGAGGAGAATGCATTTTTGACGCTGGAGTCTCCCCCGCCTTTGGGCTTCGAGGCGTGCGGTGTGGCTACGGATGAAACATTCTTTTTCCACAAAAGCGAATCCCTTGGCAGAGAGCGGCTGCGAAGGTTGGATGCTGCCTTTGAGCGGCACGGCATGCCCAAGAACGCGGAGAAGGATGTAACGCTAGCATCTGCTATGACAGCACTGGGGCGTCAGCTCACTGCACGACCCCCTGCTGATGAGCCGGTGAGTTCAAAGCTCGTGCCACTTTTTGGCGCACTGTTGGATGTTTTCGTGGCTAGGCTTCCCCGCGAGGCCTGAACCGAGCTTTGGGCCTTGAGCAATGGTTTTGCCTTCTGACCAGGCCCATGTTCAGCGTGTGTGACAGCACGTATGCTTTTGTCCGCCGCGAGTGCGCGGATCAAATCCAATTTTTGCCGGACAAGGCTCGCACCGAGCTGGTTTTAGCTGCCTTTTTGATGCCGCTTCTGGGTGCTGATTTAGGGCGTGAGTTTCTTCCTGCTATCATTGCGTGTGATGCTTCACCGGCTTTTGGATTTGGTGTCAGTTGCATGAAGTGCTCGAAAGGCATTGCTGAGCAAGTCGGGTCACTCTCTGAGAAGCGAGGCGATTTCGTCCGCTTCTTTTCGCCTTCGCAGGCATCAGACAGAGATCGCATAGGCGAACCTCACACGTTGCCTTTCAGACCAAGCAGATTTCGCGACGCTATCAGCGCCAAGAAGCTCATTCTAGCATTCTCGAAGCTCACGGTCTTCTGCTGGCAGTGAAGTGGTTGCTGCGCACACCTGTGAACTTCAATCGCCGGTTGGTCGTGCTGGTGGATGCTAAGGCAGTTCTTGGCGCGGCAAGCAAGGGCAGAACATCAGCACCCAGTCTTCGTGGAATTCTTCGCCATGTTGCTGGCCTCTTGCTGGCAACCAACAGCCTGTTGCAACTGGTGTATGTGCCGTCAGAGCACAACCCTGCCCGTGGTGTGCGCAGGCGGCCCACATGCCGGGTGAAGCGTCGCACCAAGAAATCTCGATTTGGCACACCTTTCAGCCGGTATTTGGAGCAGTTGGAGCGCTCTGCAGAGGTTTTGAGCAAGGTGTGGGGGACCAGCTTTTGACTTTCCTCTTTGTAGTGTTTTGCCCACACTCACCTACGCTCTGCTACTGGACACCGGGAACTTTGGGCAGGCAGGTGTTTGTATGGACATCGGGCTGCCACCGGCTGACGGCAAAGCCGGGTTCTGTGTTCAGCAGTGTGGGTTACCACGGCCTGTGCCCACCGTGAAGTGCTTTGCGCAGCACGCTTACAGTGCATGGTTTGACAGTTGTGCTTTCACGTCCTCTGCGCTCTGTCTACCCTCTTTTGACAAGCCTTTTGCTTGACGGCAGCCTCGGCTGCCAGCCGCTTGAGTATGATGAATTCCGGTGGCTTTTCTTTGCGCCATTTCACATTACTGTGGTGGCCAGCTGTTGCTGATGCAGCGGCATGCTTTTTGAGGAGTTGCATGGATTCTTTACAATCAGGTGTGCGTGGGCAAAAGCTTCCGAATTCGTAGTCACCTTTGATCATTCAGCAAGATGGCTGAAGCGCATGAGACGACAATATATATTTTAATCCCTTGTTGGTTGTAAAAGGAATTTTTCACTACTGGAGATTTGTTGATTTTGTCCAGGGGCCTTAAGCAAATGGAAGAACAAATGGAACTGGTGTGAATTTGTTGACCCCAGATTCAGCCAGGTGATTAATCCGGGGTCAACCCGTCTTCAATGCCATCTTGTGAGCAGCTGTCATTATATATATGTTCTAGAGTCGATGAAGTAAGGCGGACATGACCCCCAAAGACCTCACATGATGATGTGTTAGGTCTCTAGGGGGCGATGTTAGCAGGACATGCTCAGAATTGCCCGCTTTCAGTTGCAGGTGAAAGGGAATCTGGGTCCCAGATCAATTTTGGGCACCCCTCAACATGTGAATGAATCCAGCGCTACCGTGACGGAAAGTAACAACTCAGGCCCCCCCCCCCCCCCGCAAAGTTTATATTTCGCGGTGAAGGATCTTCACTGTTGTTGCCATGTTTTTTCTTGTATGTCTTTGGTTCTGCTCATTTTCATTAGGCCTATGGCTTCCGTCAAGGGAATCCCTACCAAAACCCTGGGTCATTCCCTACTGAGCACTGAGCACCAGGAGTTTTTTTGCCCGAGCTGGCCACTCTTGCACCCAGGTGCTGGTTCCTGTCCTGCCTGGTGGTCTACTGGGCACTCTTCCCCTGGCTCTTCAGGAATTCAAGGGCAGTTGTTTTGGGGACGCGCCTAAATCATTTGGAAGGGGGTCTTGGGGTATACTTACATGAGTCATGATCATAGGGCGGTAGTGGGTGTGTATGTCACCGCACACACTGGGTGTGGGAGTGGGTGTGTGTGTGTGTGCGCTTTTTATTTGTGACTAGTTCGTCCCTTGCTCGGAGAACCCAACCAGCGGGTTGCCAGTAAAGCCGGCTCCCAGGTTGATTCTAGCTGGGCGATCCGGCCCCGATGAAACTGCGACCCCCAAGCCGCAATCTAGCCATATTTTGGTGCCCGATGTGTTGGGGTCCAAGTGAAGAATCTGCGGGAGTGCGGAATCTATGCTTGGAATGAGGTCTGATCGCTTGTCCGGTTGTTTTGGTTGTTTTTTTGCAGCTGGGGCATTTCTTTGACCTAAAAATTAATTCGAAGTGAGGGCGCCCTAACAACAACTTGGGACGCACATGCCTTTGAAAGAAGAGGAAAGCTTCGCCGGGAGGCAATAGATGATCTCAGTGAGATATTGGTCCCCTTGGCCAAGACTCATGATTTATGCTTTCTGAACAGAACGCACAATTGGATCATTCTTGATACCAAGACCACCCCCTTCCAAGTGATAAAAGTCGTCACATCGCAACCAAAGGCAAGGGCCCTCAAAAATTCATTTTCATGAGCGCCCAGCACCTAGCGGAGGTCCCTAAACCAATGATGCCTTAGAGAAATGGGGCCGACCCTCTCCGGAACCTCTGCTTGTAATTGATTACACTTATGACTTGTTTCCCGTGGCGAAGCTCTTTTGAGACGCACGGTACCCATCAAACAAACGGTTCCCCCCTTCCCTTCTTAGCGCCGAAGCCGGTCGGAGCTGGGTCGAAACTTCCAGGGGAGCACTAGATCTGGGGCTAAAATTCACGCAGTCTGGGTGCGAGTCGACCGTCTGAGAACCAAGAAACCGAGGCCCAAACCGTTTCAGCAGCATTGATCCAAGTTCCTTAAGCCACGGTGAGTGGCAACCGGAAAAATGATGGGCGAACGAATCCCACGCGGGATTTGGGGGGGGGGGTAGTTTGAGGGTGCAGGGTACCCTTTTGGCTGTTGGTGTGTTGAAGGGAAAACCCCCGAGGTGTTTAGGGGTCTCAAGACCTGTCTGAGGGCTCTCAAGAAATGGAATAGGAGCCTTTGAATAGGTAGGGCCTGTGGTACTTTGCTGAAGCCTTGGACACGGGTAAGCTAGAGAGAGTCTCTTGTTGGCGTTCTTAGAAAGCCCATCATGGGTGGCTCGTCTTTCAAATTGGGGGTCTTCCAAGAAGGTGACCAAAGGCTCATTTTAGGCGTGTGAGGAAAGCAAATTTTTCGTTTTTGCTTCTTCGGATCTGTCAGGACGGTGTCGAAGCTGACACTTCACCAGGCAGGAGAAGTTGAGCTGGCTGACAGGTGGTGGCGACCTTTAGGACCTTGAAATGTTCTGACCCCGGGCAGCGGTGACCCCATATTAGCCAGCCCCAGTTTATTAATAGGGTGGGTGTCCCTGGGTTTATTGGGGAATCATCACTTTTAGAGGAGAGGGGAACACTTATGAAGCAACAGGGGGTCGGCAATATAATTTCAAGACAACAACTTGTTCTTTGATGGGTAAATAAATTCTGGCCAACCTCGTGCCAAAAGCTCCATGCCCGCAACAATTTCCGGGGCAGCCTTCAAGGAAACTCAAATGGACGCCACCATGGTCCACAAATTTAGTGTGGATCTATACTTCGGTGAAGTAGATGGAATTGAAATGACCTAGCCATCCCTGATTCACATTCCCCCTCAGAACAAACTTTCAAACGGAGAGGTCACTAGCGACTCTCACCTTTTGATGTTCCGGTTTTTGTGGTATTTCGCCCCACCGGTGCGGAGAGACTGCAGGTCCTAAGCGAGACCTCCCTCTTAAGCGACCCCTCCGTCGACTCCAGGTGCTCTTTGCCATGCTGATGGCCATCATGGTGCCCGTGCTGTACCTCGTGGTACCTGACCTCTTTTATGGGAACGCCACCTGGTACGCGGCTCGGCGGATAGCTGGATCCACCATAACCATAGTAAAGCCCAAAAAGCTGGACCAGCGTCTGTGGTTTTTGCAGGTTTTGGAGGAGGGAGCGGGACGGAAAGAAGCCGAGCAGAGCATAGGTCATGGTTTGACTGTTTTTAGGTAAGGAAACTGGTTGATCCACTGTCGGGATATGGGATGACACAGATTGAACACCAACTACGCGTCCGGAGGTTCCTTGAGATGAGATTAAGGCAAACTTTTTCCGCGAGGCAAGTAAGTAAGTTGTCGACTTCATGTAGCAACTTGCACAACTGCATTTTGGGGGTGGGATGTAAAATCGACGTATTTACACCATGAATAAATCAGCACAAAAGTCATATATCCACAAAAGGAGGCATTTGGAGTGAGGGGTAGTGGGGTCATGAGTTTGACCATTTCTGGGGTTCTCAAAGTCAGCAACTGGGGTGGCTTCCCTTAACCTACCACTTAGGGAGGGGTGACTTTGATACTGGTAGAAACGGAGCCAGAGGTAAGGGTGCTGGTTTTCTTCCGCGTGCGATGCAAGGAGTACCACGAGTGGGGCCACATGCGGAATTCCACCGACGCGCTGGTGGTGATGCTCAAGTTCCACCCGGTTTGCCCTTTGGCAATGACTTCCGTGCCTGTATACTGGCAACTGGAAACACTGGGTCAGGGAAGGATTTTGTATTCATCTGCCAGGAGCAACCTCCTGGGTCAACAACACATCCATAGAGCTGCAAGATGAAGAGTTTGCTATGTGGATCGCAACGTTTGGTCCCCCTTTTAAAAGGGTGCAAGTGGCCGCTATGGGGAGTCCCAAAATCGTCAACCCTCTTTGGGATGAAAGGAAGAGCAAAAGAGCAAGCGCTCGGAGGCAAGGTGTTCTTTCATAGGGCTCATGTTTAGGTGCTATGTAGTGGGAGGAAGGGAGCTTTCGAAATGCAACACCCAAGTAAAAACCGTTGGGTTCTTTGCGACGCACCAGCCTTCCCACGCAGAGCCTCGATTTGTTGGGTCTCCCTAGTGCAGGTTCCCCAATTAGAGGCAAACCCATGTATATGTAGCTAGCTGCTTTCTCGAAAGCTTCAACGATGTGTTGATGAGACACTTGCACGTGCATTTCTGATGTCTGCCAAAGGGCCCCTAAGGTTGAGCCTTCATTAAAAGAATGGTTGACCCAATTTGCATGATGACAATCCTTTGGCAATCAAGTGGTGGTTCTAATGCACCCCTGTTGTTGTGATGGTGGCTGGAAGCCCAGGGTACAGGGACCTTTCTGTGCAAAAAGGGGTGTCAAGGTTTTTCAGTATGAGAAGCTCTCACGGGAGCTTAGGCAGAAAAGGTTCCATTTCAGGCAACCCGCTTGGATTGGTGGTTTGCCCTGTTGCCGAGTGGTTTGCTTCTCTTTTTCCAACTTTTTGGGGAAGGGTTCCGATTCCTTTAAAATCAACCAACCAACACAGGATGTGTTTTTTTTTTTCCCATGGCCACTGGGTAGCTGAGTGTGGATTGGTTCGGAGTTGGATTTGAACCCCCGGGTTGTGGGTACAAACCACCGATCACCGATCCAAACTTCCCGGGTCCAAACCATTAGACTGTATGGGGGTTAGGTAAGGGCCTAGGATGCCTGAGTAAAACCCACACTGAATTTACAACCTTGCTTGCGACCCATCATTTGGTGATAACGTCATGGCTACTACCCACTTATCCAAGTGGCCCTTGTCAAAGAGCTTGAAGTGGCGGAGGCTATTTTCACGTCTTCCTCTTCGGCATGCTCTTGGCGCGGTTCCGGGTGATTCTGCCACTGGGCTTCATACGGGAAGTGGTTAGTGACCATGTATGTGTGCGTGTGTGTGTGTGTGTGTCTTTCTTGAGGGTAACCTGTTCAGGTTGGTTTGAAGGGAGACCAAGAGGGAAGCCCACCGTTCTCAGAGTCACCCTATTTTGACACATACCCACATTGTACTTTATAAGCCAGTTCGTGGCTGTAAGCTCTGGGTCTGTCTGGGGGTGAGAACCATTTTTTCTATGGTCACTTACTAAGTTTCAATGTGAGCCCTGGGTTCGCCTGAACCCTTCATATCGGGGCTTGTTTCATCCCGAAATAGAAGCAGAACTAAGTTTCCTCAAGCTAAGTTCACCTCGCGGGCGGGTTATTTCACCCAGGTGGCTATCCCTAAGACAAATAGCTTTGAGGAGGTACTTTCAGCCCATTTAACCCCCCACAGGCCCCCCCAGCTACTTCGACCCTTTTGAGCATATGACCATTGCCAGCAGGGGGGTCTTTTTGCCACCTTTTTGTGAGAAAATGGGCGACCCCCTCAAAAAGGAATCCTTCACTACGAGGGGGTCGATCAATCTCAGATTCCAGACGCAGATTGCCGCGTTCCAACGGCTCACTTGGCCGATTTTTCCCTTTCAGAAGGTGTGATGTGCATGCGGTTGGTCTACGAAAACGGCCAATGTTGGTTGCACCTTCTACCCTGGCTCAAAGCGGGAGGCTGGAGGGTTTCCGCTTGCTGGTAGAGTCTTTAGAAGGACGCCGGTTGCCTATAAAACTGATATCGAAACAAAATATGTTTTAATGAACTGGCACCTCATAAGTCCCTCAACAAAATATGATGGCCCCAACATTGGTTGTTGAATTATCTTTCCTGGGTGGTTTGATTCAGAGTCCAGGTTTCGTTTTAGACACGAGCTTTTTCCGGTTCTCGTGCACCTCCAGGTCGGAGTTCGAGTTCAAGAACCAACCGGAGTACCAGAAGGCACCGCGTGAGACCAAGGCCCTTCTGTCCCTTTAGGGGCCTTACATGAGTGTCGGGCACCCTTTTTGGTCTTAAGGGAAAACAGAAGAAAACCAACCATGTTGGGATACCTCGTTTTTGAACCAAACATACTATATGTCACTTTTTGGCTTATGATGTTTTAAGGGGAACCCGATGTGTGTTTCTGTATTTGGCTTCAGGTATGGATCGCAGGGAATCGGAATCAGTCTGAAATCGGAAAGAACCGCCCTGGGTGATGGCTGTCAAAGCCTCTTCGAGGGGGAGGGTGAGGGGGAGCCCAACTAGGTCCCCCAGTAGTGCCCTTTTACCGTTTCTTTTTTGGGGTAGGGCAAGCCCCTACTAAAATGGACTACAGAAAAAAGTTGGTTCCCTTATTCTAACCTCTCTACTGGAGGACCCAGCCAAATAAGCCACAAGCTTCGCGCCTGGGCTTCGGGGCGGAAAATTTGGGCTTCGCCTCCGCCTTTTCCCCTGCATGAAAAGCTGAATAGCAATGTGCCCAGTGATTCTCTGGCGAAATCGGTGAAGGAGACATGGCATGAGCAGTACACCATCCAACTGGTGCTTTCCTTAAGGGCATCCCGGAACCGGACAAACTTCCAACTTAAACATGGGATTTCACCCTAAGTTTGGGGCTATAGCCAATTTGTTTCAGGCGTGTTTGAGGGTCCAGGAGGACCTTAGGAGTTTGAGGGTGCAAAATCCTAGCAATGTGCCCAGTGATTCTATCTCTTTCAATGACCCACCAAAGAAGTTTGTATGGGTTGCCTGACGCTGGCACTGACGTTGCTTCTCGCCCCTTGGATAGGGGCCTCGGGCCTCCGGATGTTGGCCGCTCGAAACTGTGTGCTGCGACCTGAGTGGCAGCATGTTTTGTATTTGGAGGGTGGGAAATTTAATAAAGTACTTGTCCTTGTTCTCGGTTGCTGTCTGCTCCCCTGCTAAGAGTTTAACTTTTGGTGGTTTGATGGAAAACCCATTCGTTGGCAAAAAGTTAATGTCCTAACATCCAAGCAAAATGCACCAAAAGTGTTTGTGAGCCTTTCCAATATTCGTTGAACTTTGTTTGCATTTTGAGGTTCACTGAAAATACATGGGCCAAAATCATGCAGCTGGGGTGCTCGGGAGAGGGTCAAGCACCCTTCAGCTTAGGGTTTTAGGCGTCTAAGAGTTCCCAGTCTGGGTGTCTCCATGGCTACTTGGATGTCCACCTACTTAGTAGCAACGTTGCTGCGGAGCTCACCCCTGTTGCCACCTTACTTGGTTATAACATAACCTACTTACTAAGTAGGTTGAACATCCAAGTACATTCCAGAGAGTCCCAGAGATAAAGCAATACACCCACTACAAGATTCGTCTGTCAGGCACCCCTTTCCTGTAAAGCAATAGACCTCATGCAGGTCCGAGTTTGCACTTGTTCACTTGCGAGTGTTGAAAATTGTGGACCCCGTCCTTTGGTTGGTATTTCATGGTAAAACCACAGGACGCCGATCATGTTAGACCCATTAAAAAAAAGAAAAAGAAGCGACGAAATGACGCCCTTCCCATGTCAAGAGACCCATTCAAATTTCAGAAAGACCCAGACAAAAGCAGGTGCCAGATTTTCCCCGATGGACGTTAGGCTTCTGCGACTCTCACATAGGGGCTCAGGCAGAAAGCCGACCAAACAGGTCATATCTGCCAAGTGTGTAGGTTTCGGAGCTCTGAAGGCTCAAGTCTTTGATCCCAGTTGCTAACCCGTACAGTGGTACCCAGCGATTTGGATTGTGTTTGTTTTTAAGGGGTGGCAAACACTTGGGTTACCTAGCAGGTAAATGGATCCACTGGGTTGATTATTGCACCCTGTCGGAAGCTCGCGCCATGCGAGTGGATGTTTACTTGCCCAGTGGAAGCGGTTTTGTGAGCACACAATCGCCGGAGACGCCCATCTGCGAGCTGATTGCTGCAGCACGGAATCACTTCCAGCGCCACTTTCTGCAGCTTTCTGCGAAAGGCCAGCTGCTTGATCCAACGGTCACGCTGAGCCAAGCCGGTTTGCGAGATGGAGATGTCGTCCATGCGGTGGCGCAGCCTATGAAGCTGGCTGCAACGGATGCGGCGTTTGCGTTGCATGTCCAGCAGGAAGAGATCGTGACATGGGGTCATTCACATTTTGGTGGAGATATCAGCCAGGTGCCGGAGCATCCGAGGAATGTCCAACAAATCCAAGCAACTGATAGTGCTTTTGCTGCCATTCTTGAATCCGGCGCTGTCATTGCATGGGGTCATCCAGACTGCGGCGGAGACAGCAGCCAGGCGCAGGAGCAGCTGAGGAATGTGAAGCAAATCCAGGCTTCTCTGGTTTCTTTCGCTGCAATTTTGGGCTCTGGAGCTGTCGCGACATGGGGTGGTCTTGATTATGGCGGGGACAGCCGCCAGGTGCAAGAGCAGCTGAGGAACGTGCAAGCAATCCAAGCAAGTCATGCTGCTTTTGCTGCCATTCTGGAATCTGGAGCTGTTGTGACGTGGGGTGATCCACACTCAGGAGGAAACTGCAGCTGGGTGCGAGAGCAGCTCAAGAATGTTCAGGCAATCCAAGCAACAGAAAGTGCGTTTGCTGCCATTCTCGAATCTGGGGCTGTTGTGACATGGGGTGATCCACGTTTAGGCGGAGACAGCAGCTGCGTGCAAGAGCAACTTAGGAGTGTGCAGCAAATCCAAGCAAGTTACGGTGCTTTTGCTGCGGTTTTAGACTCTGGAGCTGTTGTGACATGGGGTGATTTGAACTATGGTGGGGACAGCAGCCAAGTGCAAGAGCAGCTCAGGAATGTGCAGCAAATCCAAGCAAGTTATGGTGCTTTTGCAGCAGTTTTAGACTCTGGAGCTGTTGTGACATGGGGAGATGTTGACTACGGTGGGGACAGCAGCCCGGTGCAAGAGCTGCTCAAGACTGTGCAACAAATTCAAGCGAGTCACAGTGCGTTTGCTGCAGTTTTAGACTTTGGAGCTGTTGTGACATGGGGGGATCCCAAAAAAGGTGGAGACAGCAGCCAGGTGCAAGAGCAGCTGAGAAACGTGCAAGCACTGCAGGCAAGTCATGGTGCTTTTGCTGCAATTTTAGACTCTGGAGCTGTTGTGACATGGGGTCATGCTGACTATGGTGGAGACAGCAGCCAGGTGCAAGAGCAGCTGAGGAATGTGCTGCAAATTCAAGCAACCAATAGTGCTTTTGCCGCCATGCTTGAGTCTGGCGCTGTCATTGCATGGGGTCATCCAGAGTGTGGCGGACAAAGCAGCTAGGTGCCAGAGGAGCGGCCGAGGGCAGAAGTTGAGTCAGGTCAGCTTCAGGCATGGATAGGCATCTTGAGTATGGCGGAGACAGGGGCCTTCATGCAGCCAAAGCGGACCGCCCGCTGGTGCCCACGTCGGACTTCACATGTGGCTCAGCTCTCGCCCCATGCGACGTGGGACGTCCGCTTGGGCGCGGAAAAGAGCGACCAGTGGGCATGGTCGAGTCAATGTGCTTGTAAGCTTAGCTTGGAAACATCGACGGATTCATCATGCTGGCTGAGTTCGCAGGTTCCTGCACAAGTGAGATATAAGAGAGATAGCTGACTGCTTGACAGCCTATTAAAAGCTCAATCTTGTTTTTGGAACACTTAGCTACATGTGGCTCCAAGTCGGGGGGGGGGGTGGAGGGGCGTCGCGCGTTTTGTTCCGTCGATTAGTGGAGCCTTTAGCGGCCTGATTGCCATGAGTCCAAATAGTTTGGCCCCTCAAAGTGCCTCTTTTTGGAGTCTCTGGGTGCCCCCATACTGTGGATGAACGAAATCCTGCACCACTTTGAAACCATGGGAAACCATAGGTTGTTGGTATTTAAAGGGGAATCATACTTCCAGGGTTTGTTGGGTGGTGCAGGATTTCGTCCATCCGCAGTATCACCCAAAAACTTTTCGCGTTGTTCCAAGTTGAAGGCTTCACCCTTTCCCGGGCAATTTGAGGGGGCTGGGCATATCTCAAAGTCACACCCACCGCGGAAAAAAACAAAAAAACGCACCCCTTTACTTGGGTCGTGGCCTCCTTAGTCGGGGGATCCTATCAAGCAAGCCGCGACCATGGCCCACATCAGGAGTTCACGTGCTTTTTCCGAGAATCAACATTGAGAAGCGCTCATAGCAGGCCTTTTATTCTAACCCGCAGAACTCCAGCCAAAAAATGGGTGATGGCAACCTTAACAAGGCCATTGGGGTTCATACCAGGGGTGATAATTCGTGTGCCAAGACCCGAAGAAATACCAACTGACTAATGTGAGATTTCACAAGTTCCATAGGTTTCGCAACTCACCCCATTTTAAGTTGGTACTTGGCTCGGTGCTACCCCTTTCGCGGTTTGTGCGCTCGAACCAGCGAGTAGAGTTTATCCCTTCGCTCCCAAGACCCAAATTTGAGATTCCAGACAAGGATCGGATTAGAGAACCTGGCGTTCCGCTTTAAAGCAGGCAACCACTGGTGGCTTCAAGCGGATTCCGATTTGCAGGGAATCCTGCAGGCTTTGGGAGCAACACCGGAAGTCCTGTAAGAAAACACCAGTTGGAAGGTGGGCGCCCGTTCAAACGGGACATTTAGTTTTTTGAGGATACGCTGTTGAAGGCGTTGGTTTCAAAGGGAAGCCGCAAGGACGCCAACCATTTTGGGGGCCCCCTATTTAGGCAACCCTTAGTGAGTTTTGGATGGGTAAGGGGCGGGGGTGTAAATGAGAAACCACCCGCCCAGCCACTAGGCCGCCACTCAAGATCCTGTGTTTTGAGGCAACCCCCTTCGGGTCTGTCTTTGTTTAAAGCAACACAACAACTAGGTCCACCAGTAGTGCCCTTTCTCAGAAGTCTCACCCCTTTTTTGGGGGAGGGTTCCCCTACTAGAATAGACAGAAACAAAGTTGGGTACCCTTATTCTAAGCTCTCCACTGGAGGACCTAGACAAGGAACGCCGAAATCCATGGGGTCCAACCTGAAAAACTAAGACTCCTTCCATTTGCTTAAGAATCTTTTTGTTTTTATGTTCCCTTGTTGGCTTTGTAAGGAGTTTATCACTACTGGACATTTTTTCATTTTTTCCAGGGGGTCTTAACCCAATGGAAGTGCCGAGCCGCGCGGAAAACAGAAGAAAGAAACAAACAAAAACAAAAAAACACGAGCCACGCAGGTGCTGGGCGTGGTCATGGAGCTGCTGGCTCCCTTGGGCTACGCGGGACTGATGCTGGCACGGGTCCCAGCCGAGTTTGTCCTTCCTCTTTTTTTGTTTTTGTGTGTGTGTGCTTTTTGTTTGCGCATCGTAGCTCAAACCGCGCCCTATACTCGCTTGCGAGTTTTTTTTTGTGTTTTTCATTTTGGTTCTTTAAAAAAACAATAGTTCAAGGAAGAGCGAGCTTTGTACGGAGTGGTTTTTTTTTAGGTGTCTGGGCAAGACCACAGGAACTCCAGGGAGTTCCTGGACTCCGCTGCGCAGGCAATTTTTTGATTCCGGAACTGAGTTCCTGGTGATGTTTTCAGGGAAGGCCATGTTCGTGGTATGTATAATATATAACAATGAGCAAGAAGCAGTTTAAGTGGTTTCTGCAAAAACCGCTGAAGTAAGCATTCGATATACTCCGCGAGCCCGCATTGGAGAATCTGAGCTCATTTTGATTTATGAAAGCCGTACGCAATATCTTCGTCTGGCAGATCGATGTGCGCTTCTGTTCACGGCACTGCCGTGTGCCGGCTGCATATTCTTATCGAGTTTTCACTTTTTGTCGTGGCTTGTCTCAAGAGAGAGAGAGAGAGAGAGAGAGAGAGTATCGAAAGCAAAGCAGTCAGGTTGCAGCCCAGTGCCCACTTCTAATTCTGCCTGCAGTAGCATGATCTGCAGCATGGTCCATAAGTGTTGTTTTGAGTGTACCCTTTTTTGGTTTGTTCGCAGGAAAATCAACAGCAACCCACCTATTTGTGTCCAAATCCCCCACTAGTGGCAGATACACCCACTCCACTCGCTTGACGAAAATTCCACCCGCCCTCGAAAGCTGAGAAATTCAAACCACTCCCGCGCGAATCTGAGACGCTCGGCAATCCATGGCAATCCCCCATTTTGACAGATATTTCAACCTGTCCCCGCATTTTCCACTCGCATCTCGCCCGCGAAAATCGGACCGTCGCTCGTGGGTCATGGGTCGGCGCGCAAGCTCGCGGGTCGGCGCGCTCGGCGCGCTCGCGCGGGCGGAAGCTGAGGTGGCAGTGGGTCAAAAAACATGTATTTAAAATGGACCCATGGGTAAATGGACACTTGGACTACCACCTGCGGTCCAATTCCCGGTGGTTTCATTTCGACCCACACCCGCTGGTCCGCTCGGCGCGCTCGCGCTCTCGGGTGACGCGCTCGGCATTTCGCGCGCGCGGCGGGGGGCGGAGGTCTTCAACGTCCCGGTGGCTTCCCCGCCCTTCGCCAAGCTGTCGGCCCGGATCTTCGCGCTGCTGCCGCTGCAGGCGCGCGAGAGAGCGGGGGGAGGGGAGCGCGCGAGAGAGCGGGGGGAGGGGAGGGCACGGAGGGCACGGTTTGCGGCTGGGGGGGGCGCGGCTTGCACCGCGGTGCTTTTTTTTGGTTTAGGTTTTTTGGAGGGCACTTCCTGAGTTCCTGGAGCGTCTGCTTTTTGGGATTTTTTCGTGGCAAACTAAAATTCTTGGATTTTGTTGTGTGGCAAACATGGACTTTTGTTTGTCCAATCCACTTAGGAAGTGAGCCAAAGCGGAGCCATCACAAGATACTATGCATTAAGAACCAAGAGGACAATGGCTGGTGATGTTTGTTGTGTCAATTGGGAGCCACTGGGTTTGTTCGGCTATCCCCAGTGCCCTCTTTTTTACCGCAAGGTTCATTCTTTTTCAAAGCAACACAAGGGGACTGGTATTGTCCATGTTTTCCAGACCCCTTTTGTAGCACCCCGGGCTTGCTCGCGCTTGGTGCACACTGTTGAATGTTCAGAGTCAAACAACCAGGTCCTAGAGCGCTGTGCATAGACCCCCCCTCTGTGTTGGGGGACATGTACAGACGGCTTGCAACTTGGACCCTGACAATTCCCGCAAAAATCTGGGGTGGTATCCCTTTTTTATGGGTTTGAGGGCCCGGGTTGCTTTCTGGCATCAGCTTGCGGGCACTTTCGGCATGGAAGCTAGCAGGTACATGGTGGACAGTGCTGTCGAACTCCCTGAGTTCATGGCCGTGTTTTTTTTGGGGGGAAGACCGCTCACTTCCTGAGTTCCTGGACACTCTTGGTTGGGAGGAGTCCCCTACTAAAATAGACGACAGACAAAGGGTACCCTTGTTCTAACCTCTAGATCTCTACTGGAGGACCTAGATAAGTTCTTGCCCGAAAGGTGTGCTGAAGGATGTAGTGGCTTCACCGTGCCGCGGGGCCAAGTCCTTCCATGACAATGTGTTTCGCAGGGCTGTGGCTTCTGAAGGAACCAACTAAGCGAGACTTAGATCATACGCGCAAGCATGTACACAACACACACACACACTGGCACAAATGCAGACATGCATTTGCCAACCGGGAGGCCCAGCAAACAATTCTCGCACAACCGCCCCAATGCAAGTAGATCAGTGCGGATATGATCCTGGATGCTAAAAGAGCACCGATCAGACCAGAGGGAACCACAAAGGAGCTCACCAACCAGCAGTTTAGGGCAGGCAACTCGCCCCATTTTGAACATTGGTATGTTGTCAAACTACTTATAAGGATCATTCCGACTGTTTTAGGGTCCTCAAAAAGCTTTTTTTGGAAGGGCCCTAATTCGGAATGGTCACGCAAAGCACTCGGAGAACCAACACAAATTGGGTGGGCAGCGAAAACCACGTTTTGCGCCTGCCACTCGTCGAAATCCAGGTTTCGGTTGAAGAACCTGGTTTTTACTTCCTGGAAACCCGAACAAAACTCGTAGAAACCCGTATAAATACAAGCAACACAAAACCCGTATTTCCGGAAGGCTTTTTGCGCACCAGGTTCCTCTGCAAACCAGGTTCTGTTTCGGAACCTGTTGTTGTTTCCTTTGATTTTGGAGTACCTGGATCGCCAGTTGCGATCGCTTTTTTCCATCCACTTTGCCCCAAAAACCGATCGCAACAGTGACTGAAATAAAAAACTCGATCGCAACTTGGCTATCTCCAGGTAGCAGCTAATTTGGGGTGGCCAGAACCCATGTGAGCGGAACTTTGCGGGTCGGTCCAGTTGGTGTTGTGAGGGGTCCAGGGCTCGTCTCGCCAGGCGGCGGTGGTCATGGGCCTGGCTGGGCTGGAGGGACAAGCCCAGCCCAGGCGCGAAGAGAAACGTGGAAGCGGCCTGAAACCATCGAAATTCCCGCAGAAAATGGAGTTCACTGCATAATTTAGGGGCCATAGCAATTTTTAAAGGGCAGTTTGAGGGTTTGGATCGGTTGTAATCTCATAGTTGCAAGTGGGGTAACGTGGCCCCGGCTCCCTTGCAACCATGGTTATAACCCACTGACTAAGCGGGTTGAACATCCAATGGTCCAAGGATGTTGAGGTTGGGACCCTTTTGGTGGTTGTGAGGGGTATAAGCTGTACAAGTATTTCTATTATTATTTGTGTTTGGGGGGGTGTATTCATGTGTATTCTGGGTTTGGGCACTTGGAACGATTGATTCGCTATGCCACGGAAGTGGTGAATTGGTGCGTCCGGAGTGGGCGATTTGCACATGAAGGGTGCGGATTGTCGTTTAGACACTCCGCCCTTCCGGCCGAAGGGGTCCTCAACTGAATTCGGCATGAGCTTCCACGCGCTTCATTTTGCCCTGGTTTTGAAGTTGGGATCTATCACTGCCCTACACATCTTGGCGTTTTTGAGGTCCAAAACCTTCCAATGGAGACCCTGAGCCCTTCTATGCAAAGCCCAATGATGGTTATAGGCTACTGGAACCAGCTAGAATTTCTTCCAGGAGCCAAAGCAGGCGGAAGTGAGGGCCCAGAATCTTAAGATCCTGGCAGTCACGGGGTTGAAGCCGAAAAGCGGGTTCCGAGGCAAGGCGTTCGGAAGGGCTTGCATCCTCCTTGAATGGGGCAGCCAAAGTAGGCGCCCGGGCTTTTTGTTTCAGGGTCGTGTTTGAACAGGGCTCCTGAAAAGATACATTTTGCCCATTTGAAACATGGTTGTTTCCACCAAAATCAAGGGACACCACCATTTACAGGGCAATGTTCAGGTGTATAATGTAAGGATCCCTGTTGAAGGTGTTCGTGTGTTTTTTCTCCTCTTTTTGGGGACCCCCGAAAATGGGCGGGGTTCCTTTCGAGAAAAAGATCCTGAGCAACTTGTGGAACCTGGCGGGGGTTGGTTTGGATCACTCGTTTCCTGGAAACCCCTGCAAATGAGCGCCTCTGATTCCAGACCCAGACCTCAGATAACCCTTTCCACTCCTCTCATCCTTGGACTTTCTGAGCAGGATATTCTTCTTTGTGGTGGAGTGCACATGTGGTATTGTTTGAAGGTGTGTCAACATGGACCCAGGTGTTGATGTTGTCAGCTTGCTAGGTTATGATTGTTGTTATCCCCAGTGCCACGTTGATTTTTGGGTGTGGCAGTGGGGGGCAAGCACATTGTTCAACTATAGTCCTTTTGTCGGCAACTTGACACAGTACCGTGAGGTCGCCAATTTGAATTGAACTTCTCTTTTCTTTGGGCGGGGAACCCTGCGACAGTTGAACCGAGATCTTCCTTGTCGGGGAAACCGTATAGATTCGCCAAGTGTGCATTTCGTGGTCGACATTCAACACCCCCCCGTCTTTTTTGGGGCCTGTAGCGAAAGCATTTGTGACTTGTAGCAGGTCCGGTAGAAAACAGAGTACCCCCTCCAAATGGCTGTTTATTTTCGGTTTTCTTTGGCAACCCCTAACGCCGCATCTTGGTGTTTCCCAGCCATCTGTTTTTATGTTTAAGCTTTTTAGGGTTTAGTGCTAGTTTTCACTAAACCACTAAAAGTCAAACACAACTCTTAGCAGGGGCAAAAGAAACAAAGCGCAAGCAGCCCTCCGCATATTTCCTTGGTTCTTGTTTGTATTGTTTCCTCGTGTTGTGTTTCCTTTTTTTTCCGGTTCAGAAAAAAGAAGCAACCTGGTTTTGTGTTGTTTCCTGCTTTTGTTTGCTCCGTTGTGTCCTCGTCTTTTTTTAATCATTTGTTTTTCTTTTTTTTTAAAGGAAACACAAACAAACAACCCCCCCGCCCCCCCGTCTTTTCTTTTTTTTTGCGTTTTTTTGTTTTCTCACAAGCAGAAACAATGACCCCCCCCCCCGGCCCCGCCTGACCCGGGGTCCAGGCTGGCGCGGTGCTTCAGCCCCTTCAACTTCCTGGCCCGGACCTCGGGCCTCGGGCCTCGGCTCCGATGCGACCCAGCGATCGATCGATCGATCGGACCCCGAAAAAGCATCCCCGAGCGATGGGTCGCGAGTCGCCAGCGGCGGTTTTGTCTTGTTGTTACTTTTTTTGTTTGCATGCACCCAAAACTCCAGGTACACTCAAAAGAGGTGGAATGCATTTGGTTTCTTTTTCTTGTTCGATGCGCTCAAAAGTCCCCCAAAAGCCAGCAGTGACTGAAAAAAGCGATCGCAACTTGGCGATCTAGGTACGCTCCAAAGAGGTGGAATTCACCAGTTCCATATTTTTGGGTACCTAGAGTCTCCATGACCCTGAAAAAATGGTTGGTCATTACCCAAAATATGTTTGGATCATGGCCCCTTTGTCTAGGGGTCATGGAGACTCCAGGTACGCTCAAAAGAGGTGAAATTCACCAGTTCCATACTTTGGGGTTGCCACAACCCTCTTTTAAAGTTTGTAGTTTGAGGCCCTGGTACTTGGACCATGGGCCTCAAAATCTCCACCTTGAGAATGGGTGATTGCAACCCAAGATTATGTGGGGTGGAGTCACCTTTTTTTGGGTAGCTTGAGGGTCCAGGCACCTTTTCTTCAAGGTGTAGTGTGAACGTCCTGGTTTTCAAAACGAATACCGAATACCTTCTTTTCTAGTCAAGGATTGTGATTTTAAAGCACTTTTGGGCAGGGCTATGCATCAGATCTCTAAGAATGGTTGGGTGCGATCAACAGCTCGTTATGACTCTTCCCAAAAGGACGCCATAGGGAGATGGGTCCATTTGGTTTTTGCAGACCCCTGTTTAGCACCTAAGCTAAACAAGTGGAGGTTCTTCCGATCCAGAAGGCCGGAAGCACGCTAACGAGCTCACGAGTGATCTACGGTGCTTGACTTGGGAATTGTCGAATTCAGCTCGCATGGCAAAAAAGAAATGCGAACCGATCCAAAGAGGAAACTGGCGTCACAGCATGCTCCGTTTTTTGTTTTTTCTCTTTTCCGGGTTGTCTGGGCGCGTGGCTCCTATACCTCAGTGAACTTCAAGTTTTGGGCCGCTGAGGAGTCGTATTCCTACTGCCTCTACGTGATGCAGTTCATTTGCATGAAGGTTTGGATCGGCAAGGACGGCCTTCACATGGGAGGTTGATTTCAACTGATCAGGTTTCGGGATGCCCTTTTCAGGGCCTTCAAAGATCTCCATGTTGCAACCAATTGAAACATGGCTTTTTCAACACCAAAATATAGTTGGAAACCACTATTTACAAGTTGCAATGCTCAGGTGTTTTCCTGTTTTTTTCTTTTTTGTTGAGGGGGTGTTTCCCCTTTGAAGGCAGGTGTTGCCATCGCCAAATTGGGCTTCGAAGGGAAAGGTTTCTGGTTTTTGTTTTTGACACCGAAGTGATTCGATGAGATCATCGGGAACCCGCTGTTTCCAAGGCCCTGTTTGCTTTTGTGTTTAAGGGTGCTGGCTGTCTAGGATGTGGTTAGTATCCATGCAGGACTATCCCTCATGTTCCTTGGTTGCAAGTCGCCTAGTTGGCTATCACCTGGGTTACCAACCACTGACCAAGTACGCTGCCTCTTGAAGGCAACCGAGTGGTCAGTACTACAGAAGGCTACCAACGTGGCATATCCTCCAGACCATCTACCTTAAGGGTCTAGATATAGTTTGGGCAACGGCGTGTGCTAAGGATGCAAAGTTGGGACGTGAGAATCCCTGGGTGCTGCCGTTCAGCCCCGAACTGACCCATACTGGGATAGGGTCGTACTTACGCTGGAGTTATAAGTGACTTAGCACTTAGCTTGGACTTATAAGTAACTTATCTTGAACTTAGAAAAGATGTTTTTCTAAGTCCGCTAAGTTCATTCTAAGTTCATTGAGTTTGCAAACACATGCGTTTTGAAGCATGGCAGTGATGAAGCATTACGCGCTGGAAATCACACATTTTCGTGTGACTCAACGCAGCAGGGCAGGCGCGCGCGCGCAACCAGTTTACGCTGCTTGTTCGCGCTGCTTCGCACGCTTGGCTCGATGGAGCCGGAGCATTTTTTGCACTGATTGACTCGGTTTAATTTTGTTGTGCGATAATCGTTTCTATAGCGGTGTCTCCGCTGGCGGCCGGTCCGCCTTCATATAGTCGCATGGGGTGGTTTCTCCGCCGGCGGCCGGTCCGCCCATTTTGCTTTTCTCGTTTGATGATATATCATTGTAGCGGTGGTTCCGCTGGCGGCCGGTCCGCCAAGCTTTTTTTGCCACGTTCATTTTCATTTCGAGATGGCACTTGAAGCGGTTGTCCGCTGGCGGCTGGTCCGCCCAGGAATTGTTCGGCGTGATTTTTATTTCGAGATGGCACTTGAAGCGGTGGTCTGATGGCACCTTGCGATTTTTTGCATGTTTGGATTGTGAGTGCGCGGATGAAAGGCTGCAAGACTCAATCAAGGCTCCAGAATCCAGACTGCTGACTGCAAACTCCACACTCCAGACTGCAGACTCCAGACTGCAGACTCCAAACTGCAGACTCCAGACTGCAAACTCCAGACTCCAGACTGCAGACTCCAGACTGCAGACTCCAGGCTGCAGACTCCAGACTGCAGACTCCAGACTGCAGACTCCAAACTGCAGACTCCGGACTGCGAACTCCAAACTCCAGAGTGCAGACTCCAGACTGCAGACTTCAGACTGCAAACTCCAGACTCCAGACTGCAGACTCCAGACTGCAAACTCCAGGCTCCAGAGTGCAAACTCCAGACTCCAAACTGCAGACTCCAGACTGCAGACTCCAGACTGCAGACTGCAGACTCCAGACTGCCAGACTGCAAACTCCAGACTCCCGATGCAGACTCCAGACTCCAGACTGCCAACTCCAGAATCAAGACTGCAGACTCCAGGCTCCAGAATGCAAACTCCACAGACAGACTGCAGACTCCAGACTCCAGACTTCAGACTGCAGACTCCAGACTCCAGACTGCAGACTCCAGGCTGCAGACTCCAGACTGCAGTCCAGAATCCAGACTCCTGACTCCAGAATTCACAGTCCAGACCCCAGAATCCAGCATCCAGACAGCCCCGCCCCAAAGCCCGGAAAGGCCGGTGCAGTTTTTTCGAACTTAACAAAACTTAACTTAACTGGAGCCGTGGAGTCCCTATTGTAACTCAATCAACTTAACTGCCAAACTTTCCCCGTGAGGCCCAGTTGCGTCACCACGACTTAACATAACTTAACTTGGCCCCGTGGCCGAATTCCACCACAAAATGATCAGGATCCTGGAGCCAGGAGTGTGTCTGGAATCTGGAATCTCGAGTCTGCAGTCTGGATTCTGGAGTTGGCAGTCTGGACTCTGCAGTCTGGAGTCTGCAGTCTGGAGTCTGCAGTCTGGAGTTTGCAGTCTGGAGTCTGGAGTTTGCAGTCTGGAGTCTGCAGTTTGGAGTCTGCAGTCTGGAGTCTGCAGTCTGGAGTGTGGAGTTTGCAGTCAGCAGTCTGGATTCTGGAGCCTTGATTGAGTCTTGCAGCCTTTCATCCGCGCACTCACAATCCAAACATGCAAAAAATCGCAAGGTGCCATCAGACCACCGCTTCAAGTGCCATCTCGAAATAAAAATCACGCCGAACAATTCCTGGGCGGACCAGCCGCCAGCGGACAACCGCTTCAAGTGCCATCTCGAAATGAAAATGAACGTGGCAAAAAAAGCTTGGCGGACCGGCCGCCAGCGGAACCACCGCTACAATGATATATCATCAAACGAGAAAAGCAAAATGGGCGGACCGGCCGCCGGCGGAGAAACCACCCCATGCGACTATATGAAGGCGGACCGGCCGCCAGCGGAGACACCGCTATAGAAACGATTATCGCACAACAAAATTAAACCGAGTCAATCAGTGCAAAAAATGCTCCGGCTCCATCGAGCCAAGCGTGCGAAGCAGCGCGAACAAACAGCGTAAACTGCATGCGCGATGGCTCACTGCGCGGTCCTGCCGCGATGGCTCACTGCGCGGTCCTGCCGCGATGGTCGCTGCGCGGTCCTGCCGCGATGGTCGTTGCGCGGTCCTGCCGCGATGGTCGCTGCGCGGTCCTGCCGCGATGGTCGCTGCGCGGTCCTGCCGCGATGGTCGCTGCGCGGTCCTGCCGCGATGGCTCGCTGCGCGGTCCTGCCGCGATGGTCGCTGCGCGGTCCTGCCGCGATGTGTTTTCCAAACATGGAAGCGGCCCCGCCGCCGCTACGCCGTGTTCCGCCCTGCGCGGTCTAGCCGGGAGCGACCGTACGTCTCGAAAAATGATGCGCGCGCGCGTAGTCCGGTGTCAGGCTTTCTCTCTCGTTCAGCGATGTGGTCCGCAACATGTCAGGGGTAGCGCACGCGTGCTTTTTCGCACGCAGGCAGACACATAGACTCAGCGAGGTAGACGCGTTTGGGACATTGCTTCGCAAGCGCTGAATGACCGAAGGCTGTTTTCCTCAAATGGTGCTAAAAAGCTAAGTCCCAGCTAAGTTCATTCTAAGTCCCGGCACCCGGAACTTAGCTCGAACTTATAAGTGGGCCTATCTAAGTTAAACATAGACAAGTAACTTATAACTATCCTCGGACTTAGCAAACTTATAAGTCCACTTGTCCCACGTTATAAGTCCACTTGTAGTAACTTATAACTCAAGTTATAAGTACGACCCTATCCCAGTAGGTGTGAAGCTGCTGTTTCCAAGGTTCTGTCTGTGAGTCATGCTAAGTGAGTTGAAATCTAGGAAATTGCACATAGTACCTTCACGTCTCCACGATGTACAACCTAAGTTCCCAACAGCTACGGCCATTGTTTGAGTTCCCCTAAGGTATCACCTAAGTTCCCTAACCTATCTTAGGTCTCCCTGGTGGTTTCGCTCCAGTTCCACTAGGCCCGGTTCTGGGAGATGACTCATCAGATCAGTCTGCGAAGTTTGGTCTTTCGGATCAGTTCATCCTTTTCCATTAGTGACTTGGGGTCCCGCGGAAATCTGTATGACCACTTTGTTTCCCAGTTTGGGTTTGTCTCTTTTTGGCGGACCCCCCAAAAATGGCTTTGGTTTCCCTGCAAAACAGTCCAAAAAAAACCCTCAAAAAACACAGAGCAAACAACAACATGGGTTGTCGTTTGGATTCCCTTCAGCACATACCAAAGAAGGAGTGCCTGAACCCTCAGAATTCCCTGAAACATTGGACGTTACACATACTTTTGGTGCCCTCAAAATAAACGGCTGTGGGTCAAAAAGTCGCTACTCAAAATGGAGCCCTGGTAAATGGAAAGGACACAAACCTGCATTTGTTTTTTGGTGGTTTAGTCTTGGTCCACCGCCAAATGCGCGGTTTCCCGTGGTGGCTTTGGCGCTTTTCGAGGACTTCGGCCTGGCCTTCTTCGTGTTCCTCATCGCCAGCGCCGCTTTGGTGCAGATCCTCGCCCGGGCCTAGGGCAGACGATCAGCAAGCACCTCGCGTGTTCCGATGCCGAGCTTTGCGGTTTGGATTGCGGCTACGTCAGGACCACTCGCTCGCTCATCGGGTACTGCGACGTGAAGCCCGTCTGCAAGAACGCGCAGAAGATGTTCTGGGCGCCCGTCGCAACGAGGTCGAAGAAGTCTGCGGACCTGGTCCGCCAAGCACAACCACGTGGTGAGGCCGAGATCCACAGCTTCCCCCGAGGAGAATTGGTCGACGCGCTTGCATGTTCAACCTACGCAAGTACGGACCTGGAGCGGGCCTCAAATTCCAACTCAAGCATGGGTTGTTGCACCCCAAAAAGATGGTTGGTGAATTCCTCCCGCTTTTTTATATGGGTAGTTTGAGGTCCTGGTAGGGTATAAGCATGGCTTTTTCTGCCAACTAGCTCCAGTGATCAACCAGTTCTCGCCTTGGTTAAGGTAAAACCTACCTGACGTTGTTTTTCACATCCCAGTGCCGGATCCCAAGACCTGACCTGAAGATCTCTTGGCTAGTCTTTGGCACCCCAAAGGCTCCCACCTTGGAAGACATGGTTTGTCTATATGCGGACTCTGATGGATTTTAGTTGCAGGATAAAGACTATTTTGAGAAACCCTTTGAGGGGGATTTCGTATGAGGGCCCTGAGTCATATGAATCCCCAGGATCCCTTGGGTGCGTGTTTTAGATCACACCCGTTTTGGTTGTGCGTTTAATCTTTGGTGCGTTCTGCTTGGATGTTGGGAGTTTAACTTTTTGCCAACTATTTGTTAAACCACTAAAAGTTAAACTTTTAGCAGGGGAGCAGAAAGCAACCGAGTAATGTGAAGCCAGAAGGAAGCCACAAAGTTTTTGGGGTCGGACATAAACCTGGGGCAAGGGCTGTCTTCGTACCAACCCAGGGTGTCAAATGACGAAGGCAGCAAGTGGGGGTGTCTTCTTTGGGTGACCTACGAAATGGTGGTGTTCCTTTATTGTTTTTCCTTTAAAAGCACTCAAAATTGGGTAGCCCCAAATGTATTTTATTGTTTGTTTCTTTAAACGCAACTCAAAAACGGGTAGCCTCATGAAACAACACACCCATACAGACTTGGGGCTGTTCAAAAATGGATTGCACAGTTCTGTGATTCCATTTCCCTGTGGGCAACCAAGGGCAAGCGACACCCATTGAAAACTAAAAGGACAATTGCTGGTTGCTTTCTATAGTGGCGCAACGCCTATCCATGTGGGCAGGGGAACCAGGCAGTGGTTTTGTGGACCCTCATGACTTGTTTCCGGCGCCTCTTAGGTTCACCCGCCCGTGCGTGAATGTTCGCAATCGTTGTGGGTGGCTCGTCGGTTGAGGAAGCCCTTCAAAGGGTTGTCCTTTGGTGTCCCTTTGAGACCACAAAGAACAGATACCTGGACCCTCAAGTTACCCTTAGAAATGGGCTATGGCCCCAAAAGTATGGCTAGGGGAATTTTGAGGGTTCGAAGTTCGGGTACCCATGAACAAAAGGGAACCTGCCCCACATGCTTGGGGCTAGAACCCATGTGTAAAGAATTTTTGAGAGTCCAGGTATCCAGCAGCAGTAAGCGCGGGCCCAGATATTCCTTCAATGTTCCCAGATCCTTCGGTTGTGATTGTGTCCGAACATTGGGAGACTTGTTTCGGACTTAGGTGGGCCTTTGGTGCCAGAAGGAAGACAACCCCAATCCTGGTTGCATTTCTGGCCTCAAATGAGCCACAATCAAAACTCGGGTAGGGCGCCTTCGCCGCCTCCTGAGTTCTTTGGTTTTGGGCCCAAGTATAGCCCACCTTTCCACCGGCTCCCAACTGCCGGTTCCAAAAACGAGCTGCTTCTCCTAAACACATGTACCATGTTTTGTGCTCACCAAGTTCCCCCCCCCAAAAAAAAAAAACACGGTCGAGGGACCAGAGGAAGACTCCGAGCACGTGCGAAGCCACCCGAGGTGCAAAAACCGGCGGAGACGCTCTGGAAAGTATCGCCCACCAAGGCGACTTGTGGCACATGGCAGGGGGGCATGCAAAGGATACTCCTTTGGCATAAATGCACATACGGTGGATGGACGAAATCCTGCACCACCTAAGAATCCCTGGAATGATGAGTGCAGGATTCCGCCCATCCACAGTATGGGCGTTCGTTCGGATTTATCTCAGATATGCTCTTTTACACCTTTTTGGGGTGCCCCTTTTGGTCCCTGCTTGCTATCTTGCTGGTGCTCAACAGGGCATCACTTCATGGGCTCTTTTTCTGTGAGTGGTGGAGGGTCTACATTCAGATCCTGTTCCCTTGTAGTCACGAGAGTTATGATGCCATAATTCCAAGGGTATATTCAGCTGGTAAAGCTTATATATATATATATACATACATATATGGCTCTCTCTCTCTCTCTACATATAACCATAAAAAAGGTATATGTTTACGTATGTACATTATATTGTATTGTATTGTATTGTATTATGTTATAATATATATTATATTATATTATATTATATTATATTATATTATATTATATTATATTATATTATATTATATTATATTATATTATATTATATTATATTATATATATTATATTATATTATATTATATTATATTATATTATATTATATTATATTATATTATATTATATTATATTATATTATATTATATTATATTATATTATATTATATTATATATTGATTTGTTGTGAAACAAACATGCCAACACGGCCACATTGAACGAGGAATCAACCAAACAACGTCTCTGAAGCATCGAACGGGCCCCAGAAAACCAAGCATCGAAGCGGCACGGAAAGCGGCATCACATGTTGAGGTCCCGAACCCCTGGTGCTTAACCTTTCTCGCCTTGGCTGCAATTGACTGAACGGGCGTGTCGGATCTTGGGGTACCCGTTTTGTGGTCGAGAGTTCGGGGAGGGTTTAGGGTGGATTTAGGGAGGGTTTGTGGATGTAGGAAAGGTTTAGGCCCGATTTTGAGACCAGAAGATGGGCGATGCTCATTGAGACCCGCTCACAAGTGGAATTATCATTGAGACCCGCCCACAAATGAATGGGATTCTCTTTGAGACCCACCTCAAGATGGGTCAGTCTCTCATTTTGGTCCAAAATTTCTTAGGTTCACAGCCCCTAAATCCTTGTCTCGCCCCAAAATTTGTGTGGCCGCGGCTTTGCTTGACTCGCGCGTGAGGCGTCCTGGAGGATTCCTGCGGCTCTCTGTGTGGTAGTGCTGGGGATTTGGATGCCCAGGCCTCGGATCCTAAGTTGGCAAGCGTCGAGCTAGAGTCTCCTCTGTCCTGAATCAAAAATGGGTCGATGACCAACCATCATTTTGGGGTAATGACCAACCATTTTTCAAGGATCAGACGGAGACTCCAGAAAGTTCTTCAAGCTGGGCTGGTCTCACGCCTTCCCTCGAAAAGGCGGGTGGTTTGGTGGTTTCCCGTTTTTTCCAGTGCTTCCAGGTACCACTAGAGCAGGGCACCAGGGTTTCTTACCTCGGGAATATGCATCACGGTTTCCCTAGCTACCTACTACCACAAGGCTCCGCGTCGAGGCGCGCGCCCGGACTTGGCAAACCCTGAACCCTAAACCCTGAACCCATCATCTTGGCGATTTAGTCCGAAAGGTGGTCAGGGCAACTTGCGAACTGTCAAGCTCGACGCTCGACGCTCGACTGCCACAAGGACGTGAGTCTTGTTCAAGAAACGGCCCTTGAAATGAGGTCCAAAACCTTCCACTGAAATTCCCTTACTCAATGAAGGGTCCCTTCGGATGCTAGGGATGGGTGATTCCGCAGACCCTAGGCTCTTGGATCCAAGCCGAAACATCTGGAAGCCAGTCGGTTGGGTGGGAATTGGACCCTACGTAAATGGGTTCGTCTTTTTTTGATTCATCCAAGCCCTCAGAGTCCGACTCGACTTGTTGATGTTGGATCAGCTGGCTGGTTGTGAGGAAAACCCTTGAGGAAGTCGCTTCGGGTTTTCCAAGGTCCCCCTATGGCGTGGTTTTTGGTTGCTTTGTGACGCTACCCCTTTCTGTTTGAAAGGAACGCCGCAAGGAAACCCCTATTTCGGGGGGGGGGGGGGGGGGGGCAAAAGTTTTGAAAATGATGCCTGGCCCTCAAACCAATTCCACTAGCCCCCAAAATTTTCTAGGTCCCCCAGCTAGGTGCCCTTTCTCACCCCTTTTTTTGGTTGGGAGGGTTCCCCTACAAAAATAGACTACTGCAAAAAAAGCATCGGGTACCCCCTCTACTGGGGGACCTCTGGATCGCCAGTGGCGATCGTTTTTTCCATCCACTTTACCCCAAAAACGATCGCACCAGTGGCTGAAAAAAAAAGATCGCAACTTGGGTATCCAGGTAGTTCTGGGGGCGGACTTCCCGGGGGTCGTTTGAGGCTCCAGGCGCACCCAGCAAGCGCTCAGGTTCACACGATGGCAGGCCTCAGAGGCCTTGGCCTCAGCTCGGAGCTTTGGAAAGGTAAACTACCTGGATCGCCAGTGGCGGTCGTGTTTTTTTCCAGGCACTTTACCCCAAAAACCAGCGTTGCAGTGACTGAAAAAAGCGATCCTCCTTCTGACCCGCTAAAAATGGTTGGTCGTTGCCCAAAATGAAGGGGGGTCATGACCCCTTTTGCTAGGGGGCGATTCCTTGTCCATTCTTTTCAACCATCGTTCTTTTCAAAAACCGGATCCGTTTCCCCAGGGGTTTTGGGTGGTTTTCTAGAAAGAAGGATGCCTGCAAAAGAATGGGGAAGGTACCCCTAGAACTACCAATACAAATGGAGAATTCACCAACCTGGAGCCGAAGAAACAAACAATGGGCTGCAGCCTCAAAATGATGGGGAGAAATCCAATTTTTAAAGGAGTTTTGAGGGTTCAGGTGGACCCTCAAACTATACCCATAGAAAATTATAGCTCACCAACATAATTTTGGGCTGCCATCTTGGTGGGGGAATTTTGAGGGTCCAGGCAAATTCCAAGGGAAACCAGGAAAACAATGGCGTTTTTGGGTGGGCCCCCAAAAAGTTCGACACGAATCTTTGGCTGCAATGTGAGTGTCTTGCTTTCAGAGTTGTTCTCCTTTTGCGTTAGCTCCTCCCACCAAACGGACAAGCTGCCAAGTGTTCGAAGTCGATGAGTTTGCTTCGCGCAACAACATATCCGATTTGATTCGACGGCCTATGGGTCAAGGATCGTTTCCACGGGGCCCCGTTTTGGGGGTTGTTGGGTTGCAGTAATATGTCAAATTGTGGTGCTTGCATTAGGTTTGTTGTGCCCGCCCTGGCAAGTCTCCACTAACTATAGTAGGTATAGCCCTTCGCCAATTGGCTTTTGGTTTTTACATCTTGGTTCCCTTGGTCAACTACAAAACCAGGAAAATTGAATCACTGGGATCAGGTAGAGCAAAACATATTTTCCTCAGTTTTCTTTGTGTAGGTGTTCATTGTTTGCATGGGTGTGTCCTCCAAAATGATGCCAGATTTGAGGTAGAATCTGCAAACACCTAGATAGCCAAGTTGCTGTTTTTGTTCAGTCAGTGTTGCTGGTTTTTGGGGTAACGTGCATGGGAACAACAAAAACGATCGCAACTGGCGATCCAGGCACGCTTTTTGGGTTCACCCCAGATTTGGATCAAGATGTTTGGAGAACGATCAGGTTTTTGGAGATCTGCTCCGAAGCCCGGGCTTTTGTTTCTTTGCATAACCACGTGAATTCAAGTGCCCAGAGGCTCCCGATTTATTTAGGGCCCGATTTAACAGCCAGGCCGGGTCTTCCATTGAAAGTGCCAGGAGTCCTGAGTGTTTGGGTGTGGAGAAGTCCCTAGGCGTCGTTACGGCCTGTGAATGGTTGCTCTAAGTGCCCTAAGCGTGTTGAGGGGGTGCTGGGGCTCCAAAACCGCGCGTTACACCCCGCGCTTTAGCAACTTGTGGTACACCGAATCCTGGGCGCCCGTTGCCGGAGCCCCTGATGGCTTGAGAAGCCGACAAATGACATCTGTGCGGGTTACATCTGCGAAAGAGGGTGTGGATCAATGAGCGGACAAGCTGAGAGGCTTGTCTTGCCTCGTTTGGGCGAGCCCAGTAAGGTTGGTGACTGAGTAGTTAAGGACTTACTAGAAGCAATCTGGGGACCCCCACTTGGTAAAGCCCAGCAACTTGTAAAGTAGAGTTTGAGATCGGAAAAATTACCCGACATGTAGCGCTGCAGGTGGCTCAGTATTGGCTAGTTGTTGCTTCGCAGTCATTATCTTGGGAGATGGGACTCGCTTCGCTGCAGCTGGGCTCAGCCCTCATGAGCTGAATCCTTGCAGAGCCCTCGAGGTGGGGGGTTGTGTTTATATGAACACCTGGAGTCTCCTTCTGACCCGAATCAAAAATGGGTCAATGACCAACCATTATTTTGGGTAACGAGCAACCATTTTCCAAGGGTCAGGAGGAGACTCCAGGTGTTCTCTTTGAGGCTCACCCTTGCAAGGCATTGCACTCTGTGGTTCCCCCCCTCCCCCCAATTGTGCAAAACCGAACCGTATCTGAGAGGTTTCAAAGGGTGTTGCCCGTTTTGAGGGCACGTGACATGTAGTGTTAAAAAGAAGCTTAGATAGGACCCACAGCAGCGGGATACAATATTCTGCCCTTGTGCGACGTCTCCCCACCCTCCGCTTTCCCCAGCGGGTGTAGTTAATGGGGAACACCTTCCAAACTGTGTTGATTAGACATGAGTCTTCATGTATACATGATTTCTATGCAAGGGTGTCCAAACAAGATGCCTGCCATCGCATGTAGTGCCCAGCTGAACACCTTTGGACTAAATCTTGCTGGTGCTCAGTAGGAATGACCGAGACAAGGTGTTGGGAATGCATCAACCGGAAGGGGACTCTCCGAATGGAAACCACCGGTTGGATGGTTTATGGGGGTCATTCCAAATTCTCATTCCCTGCCTATCGAACCAGCAAGAAATGTTTACCCTTGATCATGTGACCCAAATGTGCATACCGAAGCCAAGCGAAGTATTTCTACTTCCATGGACCTGGAAGTGTGCTTGCCGAGCGGGCGAACTTTCTCAACGAGGCTGGGCAAATAAATGAATGTTCAATTCGCCACTCCTGCGGGCCCTTCTTCCCAAAAAGGGGCAACAAAACAGACCTGGAACCTCGAACTACCAACTTAAATATATGGGGTATCGCCACCTATGGTTGGCGAATTCAGGTTTTTTTTTCCAGGGTAGTTTGGGGGTGAATTCCCTTTTTTCAGGGTAGTTTGGGGTTCCAGGTGGTTTCAAGCACTGGTGCGCAAGGCTGGATCCAGCATCACGAGTCAATGAGCTGAAGACCGCAGCGCAGGCGCATTTTGGACGCAGATTGCGGCTGGTCGACCAGAGAGGCCGGCCAAGGCCCAAAGAACGAACAGAGTCTAGGTCCCCAGTGCCCTTTCACCGTTTCCTTTTTGGTTGGGAGATTCGGTTCCCCGACTAAAATAGACTACAAGAAAAAATCGGGTACCAACTTATTCTAGCCTCTCAAGTCTGGAGGACCTAGGCGTCAACAGGCCCCGAAGATGGGAAGAAGCGCGGTGTTTGAAACTCCAAAGCTGGAAGAGCTCGGTTTCTGCGGGATTTCATTTGCAGCAAACCCAACGCTCGGTTCAATCCCTGATGTGTGTTTCTTTTGTTTGTTTCGAAAGAAAAGAACAACAACAACTCACATGGGGGGTTCTGAAAAATTGGGGACATCTCCACCCTCCAAAACGGGGGTCCCTACTGACGAACTCTTCCAAAGAATGCCATTTCTGCTTCGATTTTTTTCAGCGAATACCAACAATTCTGGTTTCATTCCTATGGGTTTTTCTCAATACGCCGTCCGCTTTTCAAATGGCCATGGGTCAAAAGTCCCGGTTCCCAGTGAACATCCCAATCCAACCACTAAAAAACGACTAAAATGGGTGGTGAATTCACCTACCCCAAAATGGTATCATTGGTTTTGACTCGCAGCCAAATGTTTTTAAACCAAGGATTGATTCTTGTGGTCATGGTTTCCATTTCGTGCGAGATGTGCGGATTTCGCATCCATTCCAGGCCGGCACCTGGATTTGGAGCTCACGCTGAGTCACTTGGATCAGCCAGTTCCTGATGGTCTTACCTGGAGTCTTCATGACCCTTTAAACATGGGTCAATGAGCCCATTATTTCGGGTAATGACCAACCATTTTTTGAAGGTCAGAAGGAGACTCTAGGTATAAATACAGCATTCTCTCAGGACGGAACCCCCCAGATTATGCTTACAAGGCTTGTAGGGTTTTAGTTGGTGTTGTAGTTTCCGCAAAACCACTAAAACACACTTGCCCCCATTCAAATGGCAAGAACCCAATTTGGATGATGACAATCTTCAGGTAAGTAATGGTGAGATATGAACCGCCTTTGCTTTAATGCAGCCTAGGCCATACCCTTCCCTTGAAAGCCACCAAAAAAGCCGTTCCTTAGATGCGTTTTTTTTTTTTTTTCTCTTATGTTCTCAGGTTTTCAGTTGGTTTAGTGACTAGTGGCAATAGTTTCCACAAAACCACTCAAAGTCAAGCACGTTTCGCCGGGGATTCGCCCAGGCCAGGCCGGGCTGAGAAACGGAGACACGGTCACTGCCATCGCCCAGTTGGCGGAGCTGGCCGCCACGAAGAAAGCCTTCGCTCCTCCGATTTGACGCATCCGAGTCACGGGGATCGAGCGACCGAGCGGGGAAAATCTGCGAGCGAAAACCGACTTTTGTGAGAAAGGGCCGTAGAACTTGGGGATTTCATTCAGCTTTTGGATTTATGGTAAAAGTTTGCAGATCATACCATCTGGACCTGCGCTTGTTACATAAATTGGTGTCCCTTGGGTGTTTTGTAGCAGACATTTGCTAATCGTTTTTTTGTTCTTCTTTTTGTTTTTCGTTTTCGGGGGAACGGGCGCAAATTTGGATTCGAGCATGTTTGGCTATTGCGGCGGCTTCTCTCTTCTCATGTAGTTTGTTGCGTGGAAACATGTGGCAACAACCCGCAAAACGGGTGCAAATACCCGCAAACGAGCGCAAATACCCGCAAAACGAGCGCAAGTCCAAATCATGTAACAATTGGTATTTTGCAAGAAGCCCATGTTCATGAAACGAGTGTTGTTGGGGGAACGACCACTTTTTGGATCACTGGCAAAAAATGGTTGCCCGAGCAGTTTTTTTCCTGGCACAAATTTATGTAACAATGGAAGGTCCACGATAGTGGCAAAACACCTGGGATTCGCCGGCCCATGTTTGTTTCTATGTTCTTGTTGGTTTTGTTTGTGTATGTTTAAGCTGACTTGGTTAGGTGATCCCTGGCTTTCTTTTCTTGGGTCAAGGTCGCAAATGTCAGTTCCGTTTGGTGAGGCTTTGTACGAATCCGGCGGAGCTGCGGTGACTTGGGGTGATCCAGAGCACGGGGGTGACAGCAGCGAGGTGAGAGCGCAGCTCACTCACATTCGAGAAATTCAAGCCAACCGTGAATGGCAGGGTGGTGCGTTTGCTGCCATTCGTGATGATGGCTCGGTGATCACTTGGGGCCATGCAATGTATGGCGGGGACAGCAGTCGGGTACAAGAACAGCTGACTGGTGTCCAAGAGATCCACGCAGGCGAGCGCGCTTTTGCGGCCCTGCGTGAAGATGGCACTGTGGTTACTTGGGGCCATGTTGACCACGGTGGTGACAGCAGTGAGGTGACAGATCAGTTGATTGGTATCACACGGATTCAAGCAGCTGGATTTGCTTTTGCTGCCATTCGTGAAGACGGCACAGTGATCACTTGGGGCAGTCCTTGCATTGGCGGTGATAGCAGTGAGGTGCAAGAGCAGCTGGTTGGTGTCCGGCAAATTCAAGAAGCTGGGCGAGCTTTTGCTGCAATCCGTGAGGACGGCACAGTGGTCACGTGGGGTCATCCAGGATACGGTGGTGACAGCGGTGAGGTGCGAGCTGAGCTTACTTGCATTCGAGGAATTCAATCAAGCTGCGATTGGTGTGGTGGTGCGTTCGCTGCCATTCGTAGTGATGGAAAGGTGATCACTTGGGGTGACGAAGAGTTCGGTGGTGACAGCAGTGAGGTAGAAGAGCAGCTGACATCCGTTCAACAGATCCAAGCAACCTTGCGTGCTTTCGCTGCCATCCGCGAAGATGGTACTGTGATTGTTTGGGGACACCCAGACTATGGCGGTGACAGCAGCGACGTGCAAGAGCAGCTGACTGCTGTGAGACGGATTCAAAAAGCTGATTCTGCTTTTGCTGCCATCCGTGAAGATGGCACTGTGATCACTTGGGGTAATTCATGCAGCGGCGGTGACAGCAGTGAGGTGCAAGAACAGCTGACTTGTGTCCAAGATATCCAGGCAACGCGGCTTGCGTTTGCTGCCACCCGGGAAGACGGCAGAGTGGTCACTTGGGGCCATCCAGACTACGGGGGCGTCAGCAGCAAGGTGCAAGATCAACTGCTTCGTATCTCTCAGATTAAAGCAAGTGGTACTCTCTTTGCTGCCGTCCGTGAAGATGGCACTGTGATCACTTGGGGTCCAGGCGATCGACCAGTTTCTGTGCCGTCAAAACAAAAAAGTCATCCGATGCTTGTTCCGTTGTTCGCGCGAGGGCGGGAGGGGCATCCCTTCGAAAAGGGGGGGGGTTGTGTTAATATATGGCTGTGGCTCAAAAAAAAAGAAGGTAGCATAAATAGTGGCACCTTTGTAAATGTAACCAAATAATAAAACCTGCGTAACCCTAGCTCTCTAACTTTGAGCCACACCCCAATATGTTCTGCGGACATAGCAGCTATGCACCTTGCGCTTTGTAGTCTGCTTGATCTGAGAACATGCGAGGGGTACCATCCATATCTTCAGCGCCATACCAGCAAATGTCCTTGATGAGAAAGCTGGGCACCAGATTGCCGCGGTCCGATGTAAGACGTAAGGTGCTTCTCTTGTTGGCGAAGTAGAAGGCCAATTTGCTTCTTTATGGCTATTTGGTTGGATCTTTGGGCTTTAACTGTTTGGGAAGCTGCAGACTTTCCGTTGGACCCGCCAAAAGTGAAACTTGTTGCAGCGGGGTCAAGAGCAACCAAGATGTTTGGTTCCTCTTTTGTGCGACCTCCAACCCTCTTGACCTTTTGGAGCAACAGTGTTTTCATATCCAAAGGACGTGTTTTGGATTTTGGCTGCCCTCAAGCCATTTTGCGGGGGGAACTCATTGACTTCTTTGTCAGACAATTACAACTTCAAAGACAACCCCAGATTCCGATTCCTTTTTTGGGAGGGGGGTTTCCCTGTAGTGTTTACGGAACCTTTTGATCAACCCCAAGAGGATTTTTATGCGGGAGCCTTCGTCTTGGGTCCAAACATCGGCCGAGGTCGCGTTGCCAGAGCTGGTCCAGCGGGACGGCTACCTGGACCGGCGCTTGCCTTTGCGCGTGGAGGCCGGCGAAGAGCGAGCGGCGGATCCAACGAAATATTGCCCAGTGGCGCCGTGGGTTCCGCCCCTTTTTTTCCGACTTGTTTTTGGGCATCTAAGAAACAGCCGGGAAAGCCGAAGACCGGCCATGAGTCGGAGGCGGGTCCAGACCAACCCTTCAAGCCTCGACCACACACATCATCCATAGGTGTTTCTCTTTTTGGTGGTTTTGCTCGAAAAATAGATGGCGATTCCTGGTTTACCTGGTGGTTGATCAGCTACCAGGGATATCCATCTATTTCCCCTAAAAGGACACCTACGCACTCATCCCTTGGCGCTTTGTGGCTCAAAATTCGACATGCAGGGTTACGTGGGGGGGGGGGGGGGTTGAGCCATCCGGAGCGAAGCATGAAAGCTGCTGTGGGTGGTCCGTAGAGATGGATTGTCACTGGCTTCAGTTGCTTCCTTTAAGACTTTGCCGAAATACCTTCAATCAATCGCCCAGCCCTTCCCAGTGGGTCCATTTACTTGTGTAGTTAACCTAGCGAACCAGCCTGAAAAAGGAAAAGGAATCTGGCAGGCTACCTCCTCTAGTCGTACGTGACTGGGCTAGGTTCTCCATTCGGGATTCCTGTGCAAGTGCGTCGTTCGAAAGCTTCAGGGCGATGACGAGGGAGCGCGGGCCTAAGGCAACAAGAAGACAGCCTTAGGAATGCACCGGTTGCACTGGGCTTGGTTCAAGGGTCACAAACCTTTCTGTTAATTACAACTAACTAACTTGGCGAATCGAACACCCAAGTATCTGCCACGTGCGGTTCTAAATAGTTTTTACTCTCTCACTGGACACACTACGTATTTATTTTTTGCCAGACCACTTCAGCAAATGGAGGTGATGTTTATTTTGGGGAGGTTTGCACCATGGTTATGGTTGTACTCCCCTTGGATGATAAGCAGGGTTGCTAGGGATTCCAAATGTGGATTCTCGCCAGGATGTTTTGAACTTCACCAAGCACCCTTACGAGTCTCTCTGTGCACCTCGGGGCTGTGTTGCTGTGTTGGCGCTTTGATGTTCTTGGCTTCGGAGTCAGTAAATGACACATGAGGTTGGGTCTGAATTGCTGATCTAGGACAGGGGAGGCCTCACGAATGTGTTCCCACAAAAACAAAGGAGCATATGTTCCTGGTTTGTGGAAGTAAGAAAATCATTTTGAGGAGTCAAATTGACATTGTGTCAAATTGAAGTATTGAAGTTGAAGTAAGTATTCCTGGTTTGTGTATAGAAGTCAAATTGGAATTGGTCGACGTGAAACACCTTCCTGAAAACTCCGCGATCGTTTCGGTCCCATTTTTGGCGATCGGCAGCGATGTACCGGCAAATGGCCAAGTTGGTGTCGCTCCATCTGGGAACCCCAGCACGCGGGTCCAACATTTTCTGAGTGGCTTTTGATTGGTTTAGTTTGGGTTTCCAACATTTTCCAAATGTAGCCCACAGGTGAAGCTTTTCGGAGAACATGACATTTTCAGGCAGATGGTTGAAAGGGACTGCCTGTTGGAAGCCTAGGGCAAGGATCTCTCTCTTTTTTTCTTCTCCCGAAGTAGGCCTTTTCTTCTTTCTGCACTAAAAGAGATCCTTGGTCAACCTCAAGAATGTGGAGACCAAAATCTCAGGCCTTTGAAAGTCCATTCTGCGCACTTTGCAACCCCCCACGTGGCTTTGCAGTGGGTTCCGCCTCTTTTTTCCGCTTTTCGGGGGATTTGGGTTCTGGTTCCTTTTTCCCGTGGAAATCCACGCATCTGAGCCAAAGGTGGGTTTGATTTCCCCGCAAAGAAGTTGCCCAAAGGGCAAGCGGTGTGCGAGTTGAAGGGGCATCGAAAGAAAGCCAGTGCCACAGACCAGGCCCTTAGCGCTTAGGGTTTGGGAAACGGACCAGGCCCGTTGGGTGGTACTTCCTACGGGAACAAGGCGACTTGGATGTTCAACCTACTTAGTATAGGTTCTATCCATAGTTGCAAGGCAACTAGCCCCAGTTACCCCAATTAGAGCCTTGGTTGTAACCTCCTTACCTGACGTAGGCTGAACATCCAAGTATCGGGCGAACGGAGGGCAGTCGGCAGTGGAAGGCCACCGAAGCAACTACCGGGGCGAAAGGTTTTCTGATGGGAGGTGGGAAAGTCGAGTGGCGCCCCCTTGCTTTGTAACCAAAAGGAACCCCAGACAGGACAGGCCATGGTCGAAGCTTTCGGCGAAAAGAAATATGCACGTGCAACAAACAGAATGTGATCCCACAAAACAACAACCAGCCTTTGTTGTCTTTCGCCTTTTTCTCACCTTCGAAACGAAGGGCTTAAACCTTTAGGGACCCAAGTGGCTAGGTACTAGTCTTTGCTCAATCAAGTCGAAGGGAGAAACAACCAGCTGAACCCTCGTTAAACTGTTTGAAACATGGGCGTTCTTGCCCCCAGATTATGGTTGGTGATTTCCGGTTGAGGGTCCAGGCAGAGACCAAACACAAGGAACCCCAAGGTTATTTGACATTTTCGCCCTGAGTCTTGGGCACCTCGGGAAGGCCTGTCTGAGTCGAAGAAATGCTTCTTCGGAATGATCAAATGACCCCTAACCATCCAAGCGCCTGAACCCTCGAAACACCCGCAAAAGTCGGTGTGGGGTGAATTCCGCTTAAGTTGTAAGGGTCCAACTGGTTGTCTCTTAGGGACTCCCCTTCCGGTTTTCATTCCCAGCACAGTGATGTTGTTGAGAACCTCTGAAGACACAGCCCACCCAAGAGTAGACCGGCAAGAGACCTTCTACTTTACTTGTATTTGCAATGTGCTTTATGCTTGTAATTGTTTGGGGCTGCAAGGAAGTTGTTTGGTACGTACTAAAACTGTGTACGAACCCGCCTTTTGGTTTTTATCATCAACTGCCTGTTGCCAATTCGCGAGATACCGCCCAAAGCCATTTGGAGTGTTGTTGATGGTACCCTGTTTGGACACCAAAAAGCAACCACCCAAAGTTCACCCAAAACGGGGGAGTCGCCGATATTGAGACAACCCCATTTCGAGAAGCACGCTCAGAACCAATCCGATGGCTTGAATCGGCTTCTGGGATTAGGATCTGAACCGCTTCTTAGTTCGTAGAAATGAATGACGCCAGCCCTGACCAAACCCGCGGCCACCAAACCACCAAACATTTTTGGAGGGAAGCTGATGCACCCTCAAAATACCCGTATAAAATTGGGGCTACAGGCAGCATGGTTGGTGATTTCCCTTTTTTGAATGGGTAGTTCGTCAAACTACGAAAAAAGCGGAACGCACGCGCGAAAAGTTTGGGCCTATAGGCAGCTTGAGGGTTTAAATGGCACTGAGGCCATCATCAACCCCTCTATCACCTTGCTGGGCGACGAGCTGGTGCTTGCGGCACGCCTCCATCGGCGATGGCCTCGGGTGAAAAGTTCCGAGGAGAGGTCTGGGTCGACCATCTCACTTGGGATGTTTCCATTGAAAGATACCGTCTCCAAATACCCTAGATGGACAACCCCGGTTTAGTTTTATCATCTTTGGAACCAACAAACAGATGGGTTAACTGTTTAGTCTCTTCTATTGGACAACCCCGGTTTTCCAGATGAAATGCCTCAAAACAGTGGGTATCGTGTGGTTGCCCTTGGTGTTTGCTGGTTTCCGCTCTAAAGACCTAGCCGCCCAAAGCGAAACAACCTTCCCTTTTAACCTTTTATTTCCAGGTGCTCTGTGTGGGCAATACCCATCAAGCAGGTGGCTTTCTGCTGGTTTCCGGGGTAAAACAACCCCAACTAAAATTGGTCCTTATGTGACTGTGTCATGTTGATACTCATTTTGGACTTGGTTCTTCGGGGGATCAAAGGGGCACTGATTAAAAGGGAAGAGCTCAGCTTCGGGGAGAAGCCTGAGGTGGGAAACTGAACTCCGACAAGTCCGGCGGGCCCATCAGACGCTCATGAAGCCTTCTAGGAAGCCTCCGACCTCTCTGAAAGACACCTCAGGGCCCCAAAAAATATCCACTCTTTTCGGAGGCCCGGGGAGTCGTTGGGAGCGCTTGGGCCACTTGCAATATTTAGGGCAGCATATCCGGTGGCCTGTGGGCGTGCAGCTCAGAATCAGCTGAACTACTGAGAACAAGAATGAGTGGAGCATGGAGCCCATGAGGACTTCTCTCTTCTGTGTCCGAGCGTCGCTTGAGTCCATGGGTTGCGGGACTTGCGGCTGCGGTGAGCGGTTCTTGGATGCTCAACCTGGTAGGTTAAAAGCATGGTAAGCCAACCAACCCCAGTCACCTTGGTTCTAACCTACTTGGCGTAGCTTCAAGATCCCAAACAATCCTTGCACCGATCGATGGTCCTGTGGGGCTTCTTCTTTCGCCTTGCGAAAGCAGACGGTGCACCCAACCCGGAGCCAAGGTTGGCTGGTAAGTTGCAAGGTCAAGCTTGCTTGGCGGATTCGCAGCGAGTGTCTCTGTTTTCAGCATAGCTTTGGTTTGATATGGGTGGTTTGGTTTTCAGCATATCCGTGGCACGAGGTGAGTTCGGGGTTCACAACATTGGGGCTCTCACTGAACCTGGGGGCGAACCTGTCCACGCAGTTGAATTTCACCGTGGCTCGAGGATTTGTGCAAAATGAAGGTGTTGCAAATTGGGACCCCTAAAATTGTGCCCTGGCTTTGTCCTTTTGACAGGGTCGCTGTTTCAGCTCGGACAGAGGCACCGGTATGAACAACCCGCGTATGAGCAACGGTCCATTTTCAGAATGTGCTCCAAAGCATGGAGCTTTGGTTACTTCGCCCGAATTCAGAATATAGCCCTCTAAATGCCGGCAAACATTGACCACTCACCTGGCAGGCTCTCATTTGTTTGTCGTTGTTCGACCCCCTCATAGTTCAAATTCAATCAGAAACCGCAAGGAAACTCACCTGCCCAACGCCGACCTTTTGACCTTTTAGTTTCCCCATCTCGGTCCATTTTTAGTCATGACCCCGCAATGTGAAAAGATAGCCAAGTTGCGATCGCTTTTTTAAGTCACTGTTGCGATTGTTTTTTTGGGTTTTGAGTACATGGCGTAAAGACAAAAACAAGAAACGATCGAAACAGCAACTCTGGCGACCCAGGTAGTTGCCCTTTGGGCAACTGAGGACACCAACCATCTTTGCTTTGGTGCATTTTGCCAAGGGATGTTAGGACTGAATAACTTTTTGCCAACTATTTGGGTTTTCCGTATTAAACCACCGAAAGTTATTCACTTTTAGGGGAGCAGAAAGCAACCGAGTCTTAGCCCCCCTCTTGCAAACCCCGCGGCGAGTTCCGGATCTCCCCTCGCTCGCTCCCAAGGCGTTCCTCAAGGCTCACCCACGACCAGCGCGGAGCCGTGCTGGAGGAGACACGGGGGGGGGGAGGTCTGCGAGCTGTACGCCAAGTTGTTTTTCTTTTCTCGTGTGTGTGTGTGTGTGTTTGTTTTGGAGACCAGGAAGCCGAAGCCCACGGGCTGTTTCGAAAGACCCGGACCCTCAACTACTTCCAACTTAACAATGGTTGGTGAGGTGCAACCCGAAAACTTCCGACTGGAACATGGGGTGGTTCGTTTGAGGCTCCTGGCCCAGGAGATCTGGCACTCGAAGATCTTGTTGGGGAGCCTTACGCTGAGCGCTGAGAGCTGGCAAAGGCGGGGTCGTTGAAGCGTTGAAGCCATGGACCCTCCATTTCCAGTGGGTGAAATGAAGTTGTGTTTTTTTTTGTTGTTGTTGTTGTTGTTGTTGTTGTTGTTGTTGTTGTTGTTGTTGTTGTTGTTGTTGTTGTTGTTGTTGTTGTTGTTGTTGTTGTTGTTGTTGTTGTTTGTTGTTGTTGTTGTTGTTGTTGTTGTTGTTGTTGTTGTTGTTGTTGTTGTTGTTGTTGTTGTTGTTGTTGTTGTTGTTGTTGTTTGTTGTTGTTGTTGTTTGTTGTTGTTGTTGTTGTTGTTGTTGTTGTTGTTGTTGTTGTTGTTGTTGTTGTTGTTGTTGTTGTTGTTGTTGTTGTTGTTGTTGTTGTTGTTGTTGTTGTTGTTGTTGTTGTTGTTGTTGTTGTTGTTGTTGTTGTTGTTGTTGTTGTTGTTGTTTGTTGTTGTTGTTGTTGTTGTTGTTGTTGTTGTTGTTGTTGTTGTTGTTGTTGTTGTTGTTGTTGTTGTTGTTGTTGTTGTTGTTGTTGTTGTTGTTGTTGTTGTTGTTGTTGTTGTTGTTGTTGTTGTTGTTGTTGTTGTTGTTGTTGTTGTTGTTGTTGTTGTTGTTGTTGTTGTTGTTGTTGTTGTTGTTGTTGTTGTTGTTGTTGTTGTTGTTGTTGTTGTTGTTGTTGTTGTTGTTTGTTGTTGTTGTTGTTGTTGTTGTTGTTGTTGTTGTTGTTGTTGTTGTTGTTTGGTGTTGTTGTTGGTGTTGTTGTTGTTGTTGTTGTTGTTGTTGTTGTTGTTGTTGTTGTTGTTGTTGTTGTTGTTGTTGTTGTTGTTGTTGTTTTTTTTTTATGCTTGCCCCGCTGGCTTTAAAGGGAATCGAGTTCACCACTGGAAGTGTGGTTGTTGTTGTTGTTTTTGTCCAGCGGACGTATTCGCACATGTCCCCTGAAGGCCAAGCTTTGGCTTATCCCGCTTGAAGGAGCCAAGATCGTGTAAATACAAGCTGGCTACTAGTGCCTGGAGGATTACCTAGAGGATAAATCCTTTCTTCATTTGTTTGGATTGATTCTGGGATTTGATCCCCTGGCACTTTGTTAGAATCAAGTGCGCTCTCTGAAACTGTCCTGAAGCGAAACACTGAAAAGCCGAAAAGAGGGACGTCAATTAGAACCTGACGCATCAGGACAACTTGCAGTACAACTGGGTACCCAATTACAACCACAAGCCTTAAGTTTCCCGAAGGGAGAACAACGGGGATGTTTACTCTTAGGTTGTCCAGACCCCCTAGCACCCGTGTTTCTCAGAGCTGGGTTTGGGTTCGGTACCGACCATGAGCCAACTAAAATGTCGGTGAACTTCGCGAGTCGTTTGGGTGTTCAATGGCCTCGGGCCGTGGAAGTGGGGGTAATATGAGCTCATGGTAAAGATCCTTACTTTGAAATCCTGGTTCTTGCACTGGAGGTAAAGTTGAGGATAATCATGTGTAAAGCTGTTGTTGGCAACACAACTGGGGTCTCCAATTGCAATGTATCGGGTAGCCCCGAATTGGTGGAGAGGTAGACGGGAAGCCACCCCTTAACCACCAAAAAACCGGGCTCCAAGCCGCCAATTGGAGGTGTTGTGAAACTATGGTTTAGTTTAGGGAGAATCCTGTGTAAACTTAGGGGTTGGTTTCCTTTTCCATTTTTTCAACCATTGTTCTTTTCAACAACCGGATCCGTTTTTTCCCCCCGGCCGGGTTCTAGAGGTTTTGGAGATATCGTGTAGCTTTTCAGCAGATCTGTTGGTGCGCCTTTTGAAGTGCGCGTTCTTCATGCCTTCCCTTGAGGTGGGTTAGGAGAGAGCCTAGGCTTTCCGGCTGACGGACGGTTTCCTGAAGGAACTGCAAGGTTCCCGAATGATCGGGTTACCCTTAGGTGGTTTGACTTGGTGGTTTGGATTTGGATTTCAACCGCTGGTTCTTGGAGGTGGATGGGGCTTCTCACCCAACCTCCACAGCTTCAAACCATGAAACGAATCACTTAATCAGCAGGTTTAACCCGGTAGGGTAACTGAGGTCGGTTCTTCTCACCATGGCTATACTTGCTCAGTGGGTTGCACATCCAAGTAAGGGTGAGCTGATACACATGAACCGCTCCCATTTCACCCTTGTGCCGTCTCCCGGGTGCATCTTCACCACCTCGCCCCTGGTAAACACGATTCGCTCGTGTGACAACTGGGCCCTTTTTCGCGGAGACCATTCCTTTCCAAATTCGCCGCCCCAACAAATGGGTGTGGTACATATTTTTGACCCACAGCCAAATGGGCGCTCTTTTTGGGGACCTGAACCCCCAAACTACCCCTAATGAAAAAGGAATGCACTCCCCTCCTTGTGCGGCAACCACCCATTTGCTTGTTTTTTTTTTGCGGGTCCAGGTTTTCCCTGGCCCTTCCAATCCCGCCAACCCCCCCCCCCAACAAATAAAATCATAAATACAACAAATTGACCCCCCCCTCCAAAAAAAAACAAAAACATGACCCCCCTCCCCCCCAAAAAAACAACAACAACCACAAAGGCACAAAAAGTGGATCCCCTGGTGGTCTCCATGGCTCATGGAGCATCGCCCGGCCGATGCGTCGATGCGGAGGTTCCACGGTGGGGGTCACATCCCGGGGGACAGCATCTACCTGCGCCCATGGGAAGGCCTTGGTTGAAAGAGATCGGTTTGGATGGACCGATCGATTCCTTGGAAAACGCGCTGGTCTTGTTTCTTCTTTTTGCTTGGGGGGCGGGGGGAGGGGGGGGAGGGGGAGTTTTTTTTCCCCAACACCTGAAAGCTTTGGGGTCTCAGCCCAGATAGGCTCTGGGGTGGTCCGGGGCGGCCCTGAGGTAAGGTTCCACGAGGGTTCCACCAGGGTTCCACGAGGGTTCCACAAGGTTCTGCGAGGGTTGCGGGGTGGTGCGAGCACTAAAAGGAGCACCGCATGCTGTTGGGGATATCACCTGAGCATTTTGTTTTTTGTTTGTTTGTGTGTGTTTTCCTTTGGGGGGAAAAAGGGGGAGGGGGGTGAGTTTGTGTGTTTACTGCTTCTTTCTTTCTTTCTTTCTTTCTTTCTTTCTTTCTTTCTTTCTTTCTTTCTTTATTTTGGGGGGAGTTTTTGTTTGTTTGTGTGTTTTTGTTTTTCTTGTGTGTGTGTGTGTGTCTTGCTTGGTGTTCTTTTTGACTTTCCTTTAAGCAAAAATACACGCCAACCATATTTTTGTTTTGGGGGATGTTTCCTGTTCGGAGACGAACCCATTTGGGATGGAGGTAGTTGGATGGGCAGAATCCGCTGCTCCAATCCCGACCCAACTCTTTCAGTGACGATTCTATGATGTTGAGGGTTCTGTACAAGGGAAGATTAAACACCATTCGGAGCTCAACAAAAGGCAAGGATGGAGGGTCCAGGTGTGCATGCATATACTATAGCATGTACACATTTAATTGCTGGCTGTGTTCTCTTTCGACTGAAAAGGGGTTCCGAGCCTCAAAACACACACACACACACAGCCCAGAAAGGTGTTGAAGAATGATGCGGATAAGCAAATGTGTGGCCATTGTGGCAACGAAGGGTTGATTGGTTGAATCATTGAGGGTTGGCCACCCCGTTCTGTGTGCAGGGACTGTAAAGGCAAGTCCCCTCGGGTTCGCAACTGAAAGCCGAAAACTAACTCAACGCCGCCGTTCTGCAGGGCAAGAAGAGGCAAACCGGACCTGGGTGTGGCAACCAACAACAAGAATGGTTAACCTGGTGAATGGAAGAAACCCATGTGTTGCCTCACTATGAACAATGACAGGCTTGAATCAGTCTAATCAGTCTAATCAGTCTAATCAGTCAATCACACATTGGACCATGGCATTGATCTGCAGGCAAATGGGTGCGGCAACCAACTAGGAATTTTGGATTTTTTTTTAAACATGGGTTTTGCTTGCAACCTGATAGAAAAGAAGAGAACAACAAAAAACAACTGCGGTCCATATCCTGGCTCGCATAAAACAAAACTGAGCCACATGTGTTGGAATATCTCGTGGTTCAACTGAGGGGTTGGATAATGTGCCCAAGCCCCAACCCCCAACCCCCAACCCCCAACTCTAAGTGGAAAAACATTGCCCCAGCCCCAAACAGAAGTGGATTCACTCGATTTACATAATTTTAATTTAAACTCCAGGGTTTTTCATTGCTACTAGAAAATGCTAGCTATGGGAGCGTGCGGACATTCCGTGGCTTCCACAAGGGATTATCAAACCCTACAAACAATTGGGATAAACCCCCTACCAACTGCTGGCCATATTTTTTGTGTGAGGAGTTCCCCTACTTTGACACGCCCGTTTGGAAGACTGCGGCGATTCCTTTGTGAGTGGGGGATTCCGATTTGTAGGGAGTGTCCAGGTGAATTCGAAATTGATTTCGACTGTGAGCTATGTCCTGATGTTTACATGGTGTCCTCTGCCTATGATAAGTGGAAGAACTGGGAGTGGAATCTAAACAGAGGGCTTGCTGGCCCCCCCCGAAAAAAAGCAAAAACAAGCACAATCAACACTCTTTGTTGGCCGGTCTTTGGCAAGCAAATGAACGGGACATCTTGCCAATGTTCCAAAAGGAGGACATGATGATTTCGAGCACTTGAAGTTGGGGCTGGTTGATATATCAGCTTTGGTGGCCGCAAATCGATTTGTAGGCATTTTGTGATGATTCGAGTGTGTGATGTTTTTTGTTTTTAGTTTTTGTTTGTTGAGGCTCGGTACCCCTTTTCAGGCCTGAAGGGAAACCAGGACCAGAACCATTCGGGGTCCCCCCTTTGCACACACCCTTTTGGGAGACCGTGGCGATTCCTTGATCCGATCGATTCGAAGTTTATATCGATCCTGAATGGTTTCCAGTTGGTTTAGCAAATGAGCGGCACCTGTTGCCAGTCCGAAGAAAGCAAGCAGCACATGGGCAAAGTGTTGATTTCGAGCAAATCATTGTTTAAGTTGGGGGTGGTTCAAACATTATCTTTCGAGAAGGCCCGCCAATGATTGAAGTTTGGCACATGTAGTGATGATTGAAGATATACAGAAGCCTGGATGATTGAATTGCGCATGGTTTCTTTTGCGTTTGCGTTGCTGTTGTTGCTTTCTCTCGAACATGTGCGCTTAGTTCAAACCATGTTGATACAAGCATGCTGACTCACATGCAGTGCCTCAGACGCATTCAGCGCGAGTGCGGCCTGTCCAGTTCGCTCATGGCGTGCGTTCGCTTGCTGGATGGCACAGATGTGATGACAACGGCGGAGTATTCCCTGTGGCGGTATGAGCTGTGCAGGCAGGAAGATGGGGATTGTCGTTTTGACGCATTGAGACGCCACCTGGCCATCAGATTCCCAGCTGCCCATTCGTACCCGGTGTTCCTTTTGTTGTTGGTTTGACTTTTGCGATATAAACCAACAAATCGAACGGGGCTGTCGTTTTGTTCATGCAAACTGACCAAGCAAGGATTGCTTTTGCCAAATTTCAGGCAGCTTGCGCTGGCTGGTGAGAACGGCAGCATGTTGGGCCCGGAGAGTCCGTGGGAGAATGCTGAGTGCCTGACGGCGATTAAACGGCAATATGTTGAAGCAGCGACAGTTGGTCTGGTAAATTGCATGGACTTGCTGCAAGCGGCGAGAAGAGGCGACCTACAACGTATGATAGAGCTGTTAGATAAGCCTCATGATCCCAATGCTGCTGACAGAGGCAGCCATGGTACCCCTTTGTTATACGCTTCTGCAAATGGCCATTTGGAAGTTGTGGAGTGCTTGCTGGATGCCGGTGCTGACAAAGACAGGACAGACAACGCAGGCGCCACACCATTGCACTTTGCTGCAAACAAGGGCCATCAGGCAGTTGTGCAGTGCTTGCTGGAGGCTGGTGCTGACAAAGAGAAGGCAGACAAGACCGGTGCCACGCCATTGCAAGTTGCTGCTGGGCAGGGCCATCAGGCAGTTGTGCGGTGCTTGCTGGATGCCGGTGCTGACAAAGAGAAGGCAGACAGGTTGAACTACACACCATTGCGTTTTGCTGCAGAATATGGCCATCAAGCAGTTGTGCAGTGCTTGCTGGATGCCGGTGCTGACACAGAATCCGCAGACAGCGCGGGCGCCACACCATTGCTTGCTGCTGCAATGTGGGACCACCAGGCAGTTGTGCAGTGCTTGCTGGATGCGGGTGCTGACAAAGACAGGACAGACAACACGGGCGGCACACCATTGCACCTTGCTGCAAACCAGGGCCATGAGGCAGTTGTGCAGTGCTTGCTGGATGCCGGTGCTGACACAGAAACCGCAGACAGCACGGGCGCCACACCATTGCGCATTGCTGCAGAGAAGGGCCATCAGGCAGTTGTGCAGTGCTTGCTGGATGCCGGTGCTGACAGTGAGAAGGCTGACAACACAGGCGCCACACCATTGCGTGTTGCTGCAGAGAAGGGTCGTCAAGCAGTTGTGCAGCGCTTGCTGGATGCCGGTGCTGACCAAGAAAAGGCCGACAACACGGGCGCCACACCATTAGGTTTTGCTGCGAAGTGGGGGCGTTTGTCAGTTGTGCAGTGCTTGCTGGATGCCGGTGCTGACAAAGAGAAGGCAGACAAGACCGGCGCCACACCATTGATTCTTGCTGCAAACCAGGGCCATCAGGCAGTTGTGCAGTGCTTGCTGGATGCCGGTGCTGCCACAGAAACCGCAGACAGCACGGGCGCCACACCATTGCTTGCTGCTGCAATGTGGGGCCTCCAGGCAGTTGTGCAGTGCTTGCTGGATGCCGGTGCTGACAAAGACAGGACAGACAACACGGGCGGCACACCATTGCACCTTGCTGCAAACCAGGGCCATCAGGCAGTTGTTCAGCGCTTGCTGGATGCCGGTGCTGACAAAGACAGGACAGACAACACGGGCGGCACACCATTGCACCTTGCTGCAAACCAGGGCCATCAGGCAGTTGTTCAGTGCTTGCTGGATGCCGGTGCTGACAAAGACAAGGCAAACAACACGGGCGCCAGACCATTGATGGTTGCGGCAGAGAAGGGCCACCAGGTAGTTGTGCAGTGCCTGGTGGATGCCGGTGCTACAAGGGAAGGCGCTCCTACTTGAGCGCCATCAGCACAGTTTGCTGCCCTGCGGATGCATGATTGATTTGGGCTTGCTTACAGACAGGCATGTTGATGCTAACAAATCAGGCAACAATGGTCACCGTGCGCTGCCTAAAGTATGAAGTGTAGTATGCCTGAATTTGTTTTGTGGATTCGGCCTCAACAGACTGGTCAAGAAAAAGGTATGAGATCGTGAGCTGCAGCCTGCTTTGTCATATCGCTGCGCCCAGCCATTTCTAATCGGGCCAAACAGTTTTTGTTTTCTTCTTTTTGTTTTCTCTTTCTTTCTTTTTTTCTTTCGGGGCATTCTCAGGTATGGGGTGATGGCTGGAGGTCGGTATGATCCTTACGGTATCTAACCTCCATACCTCTGGAACCCATACCTGAAAATTTCCATTGGTTTCCCTTCAGCCTTCAGGTGTTTGGAGCGACCCTATAGCATTGTGCTGGGAAACAAACAAGCCATCCGCGTGAAAACAGCCGAGCGATCCGCTTGAAGGACTGTGGAATTGGAATGGGTGCTTCAGAAATTGGAGCCTGGAGAAGTACTCCTTGCAGTTCCCCTTGCCATGTTTCTCAACCCAAAATTTGGATCAACCCACAAACATAATAAGTATGGGTGTGGCTCCAAATTAAACAGGAGGGGCAAACCGCAGGAGTTTTGGTCCATGTTTCCACTTACCAGGGCAACCAATTTTGGAATTCCGGTTTTTTGGTTGCCACAGCCGAATCGGTGGGTGTCTTAAAGTTGTTTAATAAAGCTCGGGGAAAGCCAGTGGCTAAAAGGGACGAAAATGCCCGTGGCCAAGGCGCCAACCATTCCATGGTACGCAAAGTGATTTTTCTTCTGTTTTTTGCAACTCTGGCCTCGACCCAAGCACTGGACCAAAGTGAAACATGTTCTAGACGTCCTATGTTTGAGATGGGCTTCAAATTACAACCTGGACTGGTTGGGAGACTTTATCCAACCTCTTCCCCGGCAGAAAGCGAACCATTGCTTCTTCCGTTTGAGCCAATGGATGTCCTGTTTCCAGACCTGGGTTTCCCACCTGGTGCCTATTTTCTGGAGAAGTAACTAGATCCAGGGGGATAAGTCAATTGCGGGAACCTTGAATTTATACTGGCTGATTCTTAGGGCGTGTCCCATGTTTCTCAGAACCCAGATCACTCTTTTGGGGGAAGCTGCAGCCCCTCCCTTTTTAAGGGACGGAACGGAATGCGGTGACACAAGACGGGCAAGAAGTGGACTCTGGAGGAAATATCGAAGACGGTTCCTTTGTGAGTGGGAATCAGATTCCAATTTTGGAGTGCCCTGATCGATTCGAAGTTTATATCGATGTTTTCTGTTTGGTTTCTACCAGCAAATGAGTGGCACATGTTGCCAGCAGTCCGAAGAAAACAAGGAGCACATGGGCAAAGTGTTGATGTCGAGCAAATGATTGCTTAAGTTGGAGTTTGCTTCAATCATTATCTTTTGGGAAAGGCCCACGAATAGTTGGGTTTTGGGACATATAGTGATGATTGACAATATAAGGAAGCCTGGAGTTTGAATCGTACATGTTTATGTTCTTTGGTACGTTTGCGTTGCTGTTGTTGATTTTCTCGAGAATGCACTTAGTTCACACCATACGGATACAAGCATGCTGACCCACACACACAGTGCTTCACACGCATTCAGCGCGAGTTGCGGCGTGTGCAGTTCACTCATGGCGTGCGTTTGCTTGCTGGATGGCACAGATGTGATGACAACGGCGGAGTATTCCCAGTGGCGGGACGAGCTGTGCAGACAGGAAGATGTGGATAGTCTCTTTGACACATTGCGACGCCACCTGGCCAAGAGATTCCCAGCTGCACATTGGTACACGGTTGTCGTCTTTTTGGGTTTGTATATCTTTAAGATCGACCAAAAGGCAACAAATCAATCGGTGCTGTTGATTTGTTCATGGTGACGGGCCGAATAAGGATTGGGATTGGCAAATTTCACGCAGCTTGGGCTGGTTGGCGACCATGGCATGTTGGGGCCAAAGAGTGCGTGGGAGAATGCTGAGTGCCTGACAGCGATTAAACGGCAATATGTTGAAGCAGCGACAGGTGAAGCAGGTGGTCTGGCAAATTGCATGGACTTGCTGCAAGCGGCGAGAAGAGGCGACCTACAACGTATGATAGAGCTGTTGGATAAGCCTCATGATCCCAATGCTGCTGACAGAGACAGCCATGGTACACCTTTGTTATACGCTTCTGCAAATGGCTGTTTGGAAGTTGTGGAGTGCTTGCTGGATGCTGGTGCCGACAAAGACAGGACAGACAATGCGGGCGCCACACCATTGCACTTTGCTGCAAACCAGGGCCATCGGGCAGTTGTGCAGTGCTTGCTGGATGCCGGTGCTGACAAAGAAAAGGCAGACAACACGGGCGGCACACTATTGCACCTTGCTGCAAACCAGGGCCGTCAGGCAGTTGTGCGGCGCTTGCTTGATATCGGTGCTTGCAGAGACAAGGCAGACAGTTGTGGACGCACACCATTGCGCGTTGCTGCAGAGAAGGGCCATCAGGCAGTTGTGCAGTGCTTGCTGGATGCCGGTGCTGACAGTGAGAAGGCTGACAACACAGGCGCCACACCATTAGGTTTTGCTGCGAAGTGGGGGCGTTTGTCAGTTGTGCAGTGCTTGCTGGATGCCGGTGCTGACAAAGAGAAGGCAGACAAGACGGGCGCCACACCATTGATTCTTGCTGCAAACCAGGGCCATCAGGCAGTTGTGCAATGCTTGCTGGATGCGGGTGCTGACAAAGACAACGCAAACAGCAGGGGCGCCACACCATTGCACCTTGCTGCAAACCAGGGCCGTGAGACAGTTGCGCAACGCTTGCTGGATGCGGGTGCTGACAAAGACAGGACAGACAACGCGGGCGGCACACCTTTGCACCTTGCCGCAAACCAGGGCCATCAGGCAGTTGTGCAGTGCTTGCTGGATGCGGGTGCTGACAAAGATATCGCAAACAACAGGGGCGTCACACTGTTGCACCTTTCTGCAAACCAGGGCCATGAGGCAGTTGCGCAGTGCTTGCTGGATGCGGGTGCTGACAAAGAGAGGTTAGACAACGCGGGCGCCTCACCATTGATTCTTGCTGCAGAGAAGGGCCACCAGGCAGTTGTGCAGTGCTTGCTTGATGCCAGTGCTTACAGAGACAAGGCAGACCATTTTGGCTGCACACCCGTGTATTTTGCTGCAGAGAAGGGCCATCAGACAGTTGTTCAGTTCTTGCTGGATGCCAGGGCTGACAAAGACAAGGCTGACAATAGCGGGGCCACACCATTGCGTGTTGCTGCACAGAAGGGCCGTAAAGCAGTTGTGCAATGCTTGCTGGATGCCGGTGCTGACCAAGAAAAGGCTGACAGCACGGGCGCCACACCATTTGGTTTTGCTGCGAAGTGGGGGCGTTTGTCAGTTGTGCAGTGCTTGCTGGATGCCGGTGCTGACAGTGAGAAGACAAGACGGGCGCCACACCATTGCACCTTGCTGCAGAGAAGGGCCATCAGACAGTTGTTTAGTGCTTGCTGGATGCCGGTGCTGACAAAGAGAAGGCTGACAAGGTGGCGCCACACCATTGATTTATGCTGCAGAGAAGGGCCATCAGGCAGTTGTTCAGTGCTTGCTGGATGCTGGTGCTGACAAAGAGAAGGCTGACAAGACGGGCGCCACACCATTGATTCTTGCTGCAAACCAGGGCCATCAGGCAGTTGTGCAATGCTTGCTGGATGCGGGTGCTACAAGGGCAGATGCTCCAATGTGAAAAGCCATGGGATCGCTCAGCCGAGGGATCGATCCGTAGGGGAAATCAAACGCGTGGAACATCGGAATGTGCTTCGGAACTTTGCTGGAGAAGGGATCCGGAAAGTCAAAAAGAAAGTGTCATTTGCCATATTTCAGAAGCTTAAGTTGCTTGGATCAACCCAACCGAACGAACAAAAACATATGGTTTTTCTTGTAGGGCAAGCGCGCCCGAAATTGGATGACATCGGGCTGGGAGTGCGGAGAAGCGCTTGCGATCGGTGGATTCGAGAGATGCAGGGCCTGCCCGTTTTGGACCTTCCGGTTCATAGCCGCATTCCCCAAGAAAAACATGCCGATGCGCGAGGGTCTACAGGAAGCTCGTCAAGGCCCTTTTGGTGGGATCTTTGGCGGCGGACATTCCTGTAGGAATCGTTCTGCATGGATCAACCCAGAAATCGTTGAACTCGGGGAAAGCCAGAGTATTTTCCCGGTAGGTTTTCTGACTTCGCCGCGAATCTGACCTCGCTGACCCAAGCAATCAGCAATTTGTTCCTTTGCGTCCTATGTGGCTGGGGAAAATCACGTTCTTCCGTTTGAGCCAATGGGTTTCCTTTTTCCAGACCTGGGCAAACCTTCCCTGCCTATTTGCTGGAGGGGTAACTAGACTTAGATGTGGGATAAGTCATTTCTGGGAAGTGACTTATATTGGCTGCTCAGGGCGTGTCCCATGTTTCTCGGAACGCGAGAGCGAGCGAAGGGACGAGAAAAGTTGCCTGGAATCGTGCGGTTCTCAACTACTCCCTGGGCCTTCGAAAGCAGATTTGGAGGGCCCTGGTGTCCCGTTCGGAGGGCTTGATTCGACCCTCCCTAGAAGGCTTCGGATGAGCGTTTGGGTAAGGAACACAAGATCAACGACGAAAGGACTAACCCTGCATATGGGTTCCTGGACCCTCAAACTACCCATGAGAAAGGGCTTTCACCAACCATAATGTTGGGTCTATATTTTCCATTTTTGAGTTGGAGTTTTGAGGATTTAGGTTTCATTTTGCCTTCAGACCTGGAAGTGGTTCTTCGTTTTGAGTTGGCGGCGCCCCATCATTATCTTTTGGAAAGGCCACTAATGATTGAGTTTGGGCCATATATATATATATATATATAGTGATGATTGATGATACAAGGAAGCCTGGAGTTTGCACCGTACATGTTTATTTTCTTCTGTGTCTTTGCGTTGCTGTTGCTTTTCTTGGAATTGCACGCTTAGTTCAAACCATACGGATACAAGCATGCTGACTCACATGCAGTGCCTCACACGCATTCAGCTCAAGCACCGGCGTGTCCAGTTCACTCATGGCGTGCGATCGCTTGCTGGATGGCACAGATGTGATGACAACGGCGGAGTATCCCCTGTGGCGGGACGAGCTGTGCAGATAGGAAGATGTGGATAGTCTTTTTGATTCATGGCTGTGGGTCAAAACCAATGGTACCATTTTGGGGTAGGTGCACCACCCATTTTAGTCTATTGTAGTGGGGATTGGGATGTTCACTGGGGGTACGGGATTTTGTCCAATGGCCACATTGCGACGCCACCTGGCCAAGAGATGCCCAGTTGTATATCTTTGAGATCCACCAACGGCAATAAATCAAGCGGTGCTGTTCATTTGTTCGTGGCGAGTGACCGAATAAGTGGGGCGATTTCAGGCTCGGGCTGGTTGGCGGCATGTTGGGGCCAGAGAGTGCGTGGGAGGATGCTGAGTGAATGACGGCGATTAAGCAGCAATATTTAGTTCAGGTGAAGCCGGTCTGGCAATTTGCCTTGACATGCTGCAAGCGGCGAGAAGAGGCGACAAACGACATGTGATAAAGCTTTTGGATGAGCCTCACGATCCCAATGCTGTTGACAGAGACAGTGGTACATTTTGTCAGATGCTGCAATTGGCCATCTCGAAGTTGTGGAGTGCTTGCTGGATGCCAGTGCTGACAAGGAGATAGCAGACATCATGCTGCCACACCATTGGACCTTGCTTCACGCAAGGGTCACCAGACAGTTGCACAGAGTTTGCCGGATGCGGGTGCTGACAAAGAGAAGGCAGACGTGTTGGACCGCCCACCATTGCGTGTGGCTGCAGAGAAGGGCCATGAGGCAGTTGTGCAGTGCTAGGTGGATGCCCGTGCTACCAAGAGAAGGCGCTCCAACGTGAGCGTAGCATCATTACAGTTCGCTGCATAGTAGGCTTCTGATAGCGTTGCGCTGCGCTTGCCTGCAGCCAGTGTTCAGAAATAGCAAGGCAGGTAACAATTGTCACGCTGTGAATCGGTGTTGCTGCTCAGAGTATAACAGCTACAATAGGCCAAAGTAGTGTGATTGAACATATGCCGTAGGAAACGAAGAAGAACAAGGTGCGACGTTGCAACCAGTGGTGTCACATCGTTGGATTGTGGGTTTGGTGGGTGCTCCGAGTCTCTAAAAGATGACCGTCAGTGTCAGGCTAGAAGACTTTATTATTATTATTGTTATCTGAATTCAGGTAATAATTTTCCACCCCTGTCCCTAGGTGTTTGGAGCAACCTCTGGGGCCCTTTCTGGCGTACGTTTGCTTGCTGGGTGCAATGTGACATTGGCAAGCATTCGATCTTTTGCACTGGTTTCTGAGAATGCAGCAAGTAAACCAAGGTCAAACCCAAACACCCTCCTTGGATGTTCAAGCTACTTAGTAAGCAGGTTAGAACCATGGTGATAAGCCGACTAACCCCAGTCAGGTATAACATGGTATCACCTACCAAGTAGGTTGAACAGCCAAGTAATTACTCAGGCGTGACGTTTTGTTCTCGATGGTTTGCCTTTCATGAGGCCGTTTCCTTCAGGGGGGGAGTCCAACAGCCTGGCGTGTTTGGAGACGACCCCCAAATTGATGGCAGTCGATTTGGTTTCCCCTTTAACCAACCCCAAAATGGGTACCTCAACCCTCAAAACTCCCTTCACAAATTGGTTATAGCCTCAAAATTATGGAGTGAAATGCTATTTTGTTGGGGTATTTTGAGGGTGCAGGTACAACCAAACATGGAAAT